CTCTTGAGTTAGTCTGTTTTCTTGTTGGGTGAATGTGAGAAGCAGTTGTTCACTTTGAAGTCCATCTCAGTTCACTGGTCCCCCCAGCTGCATTGGAGAGAACCCATTTCAACAAGGTGTCTACATGCGGCACCTGCTTGAAGACAAAAAAGCCCAGAAGGTGAAAAGGGGCCAAGCAGCGTAGGTAATGTGTAGCAGTGGCACTTACAGAGAGGAACTTTTCTGTACCGCTCTGAGGACATTTTTGAGGGCAGAGACGTGGACAGGCATTACAGGAAGAACTCGTGAGGTAATTAGTGCTGTACCATCTGCAGGGACTATTCTGCAGGCAAGCACTAGAAAGGAAACAAACTTCAGGGACCCAATGCAAAAGGGAGAAAAAGAGAAGACCAGGAGGGGCAGAGAGCATGCAACAAGTGAGGGAAAGAAAGGACAGAGAGATGGGAGCAAGATGTTGAAAGAAGGAAAAGGCAAAGGAGGAAACCATTCCTGTTCTAGGAGAAAAGCTGCCCTAGTTTTAAAGAAAAGGGTTGACAGCTGTGTCTTTTTTGAAAAAGAACAGGGAAAACAGACAGTGAAGGGAAGGACAGTGGGAGTACCCAGTGCTTCCTAAAACTGAATTACAGCAACAGTCTTCAGGTAGTCCTTTCCATTTTGATGTTCCAGAAGAAAACTCTGGGCATCTCAGAGTTTTGTCAGTAGCAAGACAGATACCTTCATTGCTTTCCTGGCTTCCCTGAAGGATGTTAGAGAAATTAAGTATTTCTACAGGTTATTTCATGGTTCATTGTTTTATCCTGTTGCTCATCTGTGCAGATATGTAGTTCAAAGCGCTATGTAAGCAGCTTCAATGCTTTGCAACAAATGTTTCCCAGATCTACTTGTGGAAAACAATTGAGCTGATTCCAAGAAAAGAATGCATTAGAGCTGAGAATGGCAAGACTCTTCTCACTCAGCATCCAGACTTCAACAGCACCCATACAGTTTCTTGTCAGGCCATGTGTGTCTCCCAGCCTTGAGTATACTCTCAAGGAAGCTGATGAGCAACTATCTAGGACATTTCCCCACTCTTCAACAACTGATGTCTTGAGAGAGTTTGTTTCTTAGTTTGGGGACTTTCTTCGATCCCAACATTTCTCCTTCCTATTGCAGTTTTGTTGGTAGGACTTTGTCTCAGTTTAAATGTGATACAAGTGTTTTGCTGAGGATGAGTTATAAGGAAGCACCAAACTCCTCCCTCTAAGCAACTGTTAATTCAACATTAGGAGGCTCCAATTGAGGAAAAGAAAAAAAAAGTTTGGAAAAAGGAAGAATAACAGCTGTTTATTAAAAGATATATGTGTATTTGCAGAAACAATGAAAGAAAACATGTAAAACAACCAAACAATACTCTTATACCCCAAAATAATCCCCTTCAAAAAAAAACAAATTAAAAAAAAAAAAGGTAAACAGTTCAGTTTGTGCCCTTTGGTGCAATTGTAACCAAAGTCAACAGGTGGCACTTTTGGATCACCAGAGATGCAGAGCCTGCAGTGTTGTGAGTCAGTCAGCAGGGGGCACTGTTGGATCACTGGTGGTCACCACGTGCTGGGACACCTCAGGGGTGTGCTGAAGAAACTGAAAATGGAGGTCTTCCCTACCCCCCCTGCCACTGGAAAAGAGGAGAGAGAAGGAGGGAGAGAAAAAAAATGGTCCTTCCCTACGGGAACTCACTCTGTCCTGCTGGCTAAATTGTGTGATATAGTTTTCCCTTTCCTTTTGATGTGCACAAGAACTGCTGCCAAGAAAGAAAAACGGAAACAGAGGAGGGGAAAACCTCCCAAAACAGTTCCTCTACGATGAAAATCCAAGCAGAATTCACAGCTGGCAGCCAGGCTGAGAATAAAGTCACCTCTGAGCTGCTACTCCGACCTTGTCCAGCTCTGGTAGCAACCTGAACTCCTCCCCCGTGTTTCCCAGGAGACAAGAGAAAAAAAAATAAAAAAAAGAGAACTCCTTACCCCTCCCCAAAGACAAGATCCTGAGGGCCATCAACTAGGAATGCGGTTCTACCAGTCACTCCTTTTGTGTTACTCAGTTGCCGAAGGCATTCAGCATCCCCTTCACACAATGGACAGGGGAAAGGGAAAAATCCTTCCTAGTTTCTAAGAAAGAGCAATATCATGACACAGCAAGTCATTATGTTAGGAGGGTTTTTAAGGAAAAAAGGTGACTATTTCCAACTCATGACTGCTCTCAAGTCACATTTTAAAGTTCCTGTGCTAAGCAGAGGGTTTTTTTCTACCAGTCTTCCAGCTGAGACTTGATTAGAAAAAATTCCTGCTTACCAAAATCTTGCATACAATGTTGTTCAGTTGCCTGGAAAAAATCAAGCACAAAGAAACACTCGGCTTAAGCTGAAGTTGCCCTTCACTAGCGTTGATCTCAAGCCAAAGATCAAAGCAGCCTCGAGATAAGATTTTTATAAGCCTCAGCCATCACTTCCCCTCCCACGTACACCGTGGCCTTCAGCACTAAACCGTACCATACCCCTTCTTTGCTGTTAGTTCTTGACTTTTGCTGTGATTCTGGGATTCAGATGGCTTCAGGGAGCTTAGATGGTGCCATCTTTTCTCGAATAAACAAGAAGATCAGGGACAAAAGATAATCTGCCTTTAGGAAAAGATTATTCGGTGCTGTTTTGGCAAACATCAGTTCAGTGCTTGCCATACGTCGCATAAAACATGCCGTAGAATTTGAGGCCAGGTGTCCAAAGAGGAAATCCCCCTGTTCCATGGTAATTTCTTCCTCCCCAGTTACTGCTTTGCAGTGCCCGGTGCTGTGTAGTAGTAGCGTGCCAATAAGTCACTGCTTTGAACAGATAAGGAAAGCAAAGACTTCAGGTTGAAGAGCTCTCCAGGGGGGTTAAGTTTAGCACGGGAGTCCTTTGTGCGTTCCCTGAAGACGTTGGGTGTGTAGCCTCCGGAGCGTCTTCCACTTGCTTTAGAAACGCTGTTGACGGATAAGCAAATGGGGAAAACATGGGTTTCTTCCTTTGTGCCCAGCCCTTCCATTGTTTTGTTCCCTTGGCAATTTTAAAGTCTCTGTCTGGATTGCAGTCTCTCATGTTGCCTGTCCTGTCCTTGCCGTGCCTTCTTTTGCCCTGTCTGCTGTAAAAGTAACACCAGGATCTTGTTCAGTTTTCTCCCCAGCCACTGCCAAACTTACAAGTGGATCTGCTGCATCTTCAAAACATCTTCAGGAGCACCAGGATCCCCCTTCCAGAATAATAGAGGAGCACCAGGATTATTTAACCAAAAGTTACCAGAACGGAGTGAAATGCCATGGAAAGGCTCTGGAAATCATTTGGTGTTCACAGTGAGCCTACGGTTTCCCATCCCCCCCTTTGGATGTGAAAACACCTTCCTCGCAGTCTGAACGCAAACTCACAAACCCTATTAGATGGATGTCAAGCCCATTGCACTTACCGGTTGGTTTATTGATGCATAGCTGGTCTCTCTTGCACTCACAAGAAGAACCACATCCATTTTTTCTGACTAGCACATTGACTGATCTTGACTCCTGAGCATGAAAGAGCTCGAGCCCTCGGAGCCATCATCGTCATTCACTGAGAAAACAGAAGAAAGAAGTAGAGACCTCGGGAATTAATTGGACAGGATAAAAGACACCCAACAAGACCTCTTCAAAAAGATCCCACGCAGGCAAAAGTGGACAAGGACAAAGAGCAGTATCTGGAGGAAGTGAAAACCAGAAAAAGTCTAGCAAAGAAACTGGAAAGGTAAGTCCATGATTTTTTGGAGTGGTAATAATAGACTCCTTTTTCCTCATGCAAATCTGCAGTGACCAGCAGCGCTGGCAGCAGACATCTGGCTGCAAGTCCACTTCTGGATTCAGCTGGCCTGGCACATCTTGGGAACAGTTTGGGACTGAACAGAAGTCTGGGTCTCAGAACACAACCTGGCCTCACGTGGTAAAGCCGACGACATTTGGTCATCAGGTGTGTACAAATTTTCCAGAGTGGTCAAAGGCCAAAACATATTGAAATCAAAGCAATGAACAAGAGCAACTATGGTCAAGAGCACTGTGGCGCAGGATCTTCCCACTTAAGTTCTACATTGAATTTACATGTATGGTATGTGTGCTATTTCAAATGGCTAATGCCACGAGAAGTGCCAAATGCCAACAGACATCTGTGAGATACCTTTTTCTTCATCGCTGATCTTTATTCTAGCAGTTTCTTCACAGGTAGAAGAGAGAGTCAAAGAGAGACCTCATGGAGTCTCGTGTATTTATAGAGTTCAGTTTTCCCTCCCAGGCAGGACATGTGGTCTGTGCCTTCCAGGTCACAGTGATGTGTGCTCTAGCCAGTCACAGGCTGCAGGGGTGTAGTGTGGGCAGGCTACCAGGCAGCTTTGCCCAGACTGACAGCTGGCTGCAGGGCATTCAGTGCTCTGCATGGGCTGCAAGCCTTGCCTTCCGGCTTTGGTATGTGCCCTCAGCACAGGCCTTATGTGCAGGCCTTACCATGGACCTGCAGGTCTAGGCCCAGTTTTTCCCCACATGCACACACATTCACAGTAAGTTGGTTCCAACCCACATCAATAATTCTGTGAGATTCAGAACTAGGATCTCACACCTGTCTCAGGCACGAGCTCAGCAGGAGGCACTTGACGTTTTGCTTTTCTCAACAGTGTTGTTGCTGCCCAGGGCACAGTGAGGAGAGGTGCCTGACAGGGAAAAGTCTCTAACTTATTGCTCATGGGGAGCGCTTTCAGCCCATCTTGTCGTGAAGACCCAGAAGGACTGTTCCCAGCAGTGCTTTTGAGGCTGTTCTGCCTGTTCAGTAGTGGCATGTAACCTTTAATCAACTTCTCCGCTGGTTACTCCCATTCGTTGCCAAAGCGGCTGTTTCACACTTACGCTTGGCTTTGGAAGGCATCACTGTATAACGTGTGTAGTAATAAAACCCGGTTCACAAAGGGGCTTGCACAAGTGCTGAGTTGAAGCAAAATGAGCCTTTATTGAAAGGACAGCTCCCTCTTTTATAGAGGGAGCTTTGGAACATTCAGGAAAAAGGGGAGGAGTTTTCCATATAAGGAAGAAATTAGGAGGGATTATGCAAACTTGGGCATAAGGAGGAGGGTACAAAACCATATAAGGAAAATATGGGTGGAACATATGCAAATAGGGGAAACCTCCGCAATGCAGCAAACAACAGCCAATCAGAATATAGGAATAAAGTTTATAACATTCTGAGGGGAAAACAATCTTAAAACTGGGTTTTGTAACTACCAACCACATATTAGAATATTTATGTAAAACATATAATGAAGTGGGACAAAATACACTACTGTAAATTGTCCCATGAAAGAATGGCAAAAAGTCCACAGGTGAAAGTCCTTCAACAACACAGGGGAACATGTCTGCACATGTCCCCTGAACAGAGGCATCAACCTAACAATAGGTTTAGCCCAAAAAGTCTCTGTATTAAAGTCTTCAGCCTGGGTCCTGTTGTCTTCTCTCAGTCTTAGTTGTTTTTAGGGTAGCACTCCTTCCTCCAATTCGCATAGTCCTTCCACTGTATTTTGCCACCCCTGACAACTGTAGAATCGCTCACTGCCTTTGCAGTGATTCCTTTGGAGTCCAGAAGCTTGTAGCAGTTCTGCATGAGGAACTCAGAAGGGATGGGAACCTGAGGAATCCTGTCACAAATGATGTGAAAGCTGTTCTTGCTGCAAAAGAGGAGCCTGGTTGTACTTTGTTTCTAGTACTGAGCCAGTAGATGATGAATATAGTCTCCCCGGCCACCCCCTTTCGGGCTTTTCACAGAATTCACTGCCTTTAGATCACGCTGCGTTCCTTTTTTTTTCTTCATGTCTGCAGGTTTGTGAACTTTCCCAGCAGCTGGACAGGGAATTCTTACTACTTTTTGTTTTGTTTCAATTATTAAACTTCTGTGATCTGAACCCAAGAGTTAGGGTTTTTTATTTTTTAAATTCTCCTCCCCATCCCACTGGGGGCAAGGGAGGTGCAGGGGGTAGTGATCAAAGCAGCTGTGTGGTACCTCAGTGTCTGGGGTTAGACCACGATGTTTGGGAACTGAAATCAATTTTCAACAGTTCTACTTTTAGCAGACATTTCTTGCTTTCTTATGGTTTATAATTTCTACGTAGTTTAATTAAAAGAAGGAAGACAAAAATTTTATTTTGCATTTTTGTCAATTAAAATGTAACCTAACCTAACAAATCCAATTACGGCCTACCTGGCTCCGCGACAACACGCTGAGTTAACTTTAAGATAGCTGTATATTGGTTGCCCAAAAGGCGTAAGTCAGTGCATCTCTGCCATTTTGAATATGCTAATAAGGCCCTTATATTACACAGTAACTCTCTTACTGTATTGAAAATAACATTTCTTGTTCATTAGTTAGAGGATGCCAAAAGAAACCCCTTCCACATTCTCAACTGAAAGCTAGTTGTTAATCCTACCATGTGCATATGTGCATGGGATACGGTGTGTCAGATTGGACTAGGAACAAGTAAAACTGCCACCAATTGACTCAGCACTGACTCTAAAAAGAGGTGGCACGCCAGAAACAGCCTCACAGTTGCAGCTCTCCACTTAGAGCAAAAGCTGTTGAAGTCACAGTCTGCAGAATGCGTGTAACTACTCAGTCCTCTTCAAAGCCTCTGAGTTGGCAATGTCAAGAAATGCAATCCTCCCAGACAGCTTTTCTGAGTTGTACCACCCCTTCTACAAATACAGTAGTTACAAAGCAGGTCTACTAAACCAGGTAATTAACAGCATATGGTTATCACCCCAACAACTCTTTACTGACACTTTTCCTTCCTGGTAAATAAGATATACTGGGTTATCTAATAGGGGGGAAAACAGGTATTGGAAAAGGGGAATTTTAGACTGCCATTTTGTACCTCAGCTATACAAAGATTATGAGCTAAGTTATCCAGCTACAGTGAACTACACTGAAGGAAAGGTGTACCTTCAGCAGACTAACCCAAATACCAAGGCTTATGCAACACTTAAGTCACACTTAAGCCCTATTTGAAAATCTTCCTGTGGTACACAGACTATCAGAACACAAATGAAATATTTCATGCAGACAGGAAAAGAAACAGTAGTTACTAGATGATATTGAGAAAGCTACAGATAAGCTGCACAGAGAACACTGAACAAACAAAGTAAGAGAATAGAAAATATCAACGTTTAAAAAAAGACACCCAAAGACCTAAAAGGCACTGTAAAAATAAAAATAGGAATGGATTGAAACTAAAACCAAACACTTGCATATCTTCAACAGCATCATGAGCCAACAAGATTAAAGAAATAGTATGAACAAAGATCAACACAAACAGCTGACAACTGGTTTAGCGACTGATTCTAGCTATTTATTTTGCAACTTTTTTTGGCTAATAATGAATGAACAGTTCCTGTTGTGCCTATATGACTACTTGGCCCCATCAGCACCTCCTTATCTTAAAATTTTAAAATCAAATTTTAGCCTAATGAGTTACCAAAGTCACTACCAACTAAACCTGATTCTAATCACAGGGGTTTTACTGATACCATTCTGAAACATTTAACATGGACTGTACGGTCTCCTGGTGTTGGCTAGAGAGTGACCTGTAAAAACAAAACTATTTGTGGCTGAGCATGTGTCCACTTGAAAAAGGACTTAAGATGCAATACTTCCTCCTGAGAAGAGCATAGAGATGTCTTGTGTTTACTCCATGTTGCCATCCCGTAATAAAAACTTGCCTTTCTTCTAAGAGAAGTCTGGAAGAAAACAAATATATCCAGATTAAAAATGTATTTTGCTCTCCTTTTCTCCATTAAGTGATCAGCTTGACTACAGAGATACTCTGAAAATGGTTACTTGTAGTAAATTCCCAATACTCCTAGAATTTAGGTTTTGCAACCTGAATCTACTTAGCTGTGATTTCAGCAAAAGGGTATTTTTTTATCTATTTATTGTGTATTATTACTTTAGTTCTTCTTTCTAGAGATCAGGTCTGAAAAAACCTGTTAATACACTGAGAATAAACTAAAGAACGTGACCGTACATCAGTTACTTTGGTGTAAGAGAACACTGCTAGTAGCAAACACATTTCATAAAGCTCATTCTGCAAAGGAAAATGAAGGGTTTGATATCTGTACCATTATTAGTGATAAAAGAGAAGAAAATTCAAAGGGCTGAAGTGTCTCTCTAAAAAGTGGCACTATTACATTGCAATAAATATTTCCACTGCTAATCATAGTGAAATCATAATCATAGAGTTCCTCTGTTTGAATTAGGGTTTTTTGCCATCTCTCTTTTTTTCAGAAATTCATATGAAAAGAGCAGTTCCTAAGGACAGCAAAGAGTGTTATGGCAAGGCGTTCCATTAGCCAAATACACTAGGTTCCTGTACCATGCCATCACCCCCAAATCATCTGGCATCTGAGCTACGTAGGGGTGTCACTGTAGCAGTATCGTATTGAGAATGATTCCCAATTTACCAACACAAAATATTTTGCTTTCTGTACCACATTTCTAGACTGACATTTTGTACCTCAGCTATACAAAGATTTTCGTTTCAGCGAGTGCCCATATTTGTAGATTCCTGTGTCCGTGACAACAGCCATATTTACTGGAAAGTAACTTTCTAAGTCTGTCATGGGTGTTAAGGAAAATTCCCAGTCTGACCATTCTCAACTCTCTGGCAGTCACACTCCCAAAGCCAGAAGCTTTCACTGCTGGGACCGAAGCCTCTTCGCGGTGGGCGGCTCCAGTGTCTCGACGAGTGCCCGGCTTGGCAACCATGCCTACAGACCCCTCTCTCACACAGTCCGACAGGTTTCCTTACCGGTTCGACCCCAAGTTGTCCACAGCAGAGTATCAGATGTCTCGTTCCACGAAGCCATGTATTCCTCTGCAGTAACACAGAAACAGCTCGAGCTGGTACCTCCGAGTAGGGCACTTACACAGGGGACCACTGGGGCTTTATCCACTCAAGTCTCCCCGCGCACACGTCTCGGCTCCTGCGCCCCTCTCCCTGTCCATCCACCTCGCCAGCGTCACCGGCCTTCATCTCCTTCGATATCCGACAGGCCGGCAACTCCCTGCTCCTGCCGGGTCTCACCGTGTCCATTCACCTGGCTGACGTCGAGGCCTTTCTGATCCCGGAGGTTGGCAGTTCACGGCCCCTTGTCTCGCGCTCCCACCCAGAGCTCCATCTGCATTTCAATCCGCGGCTTGCGAGCTTAGCTGCAGGGACCAGACTTCCTCAACAATGGGTAAGGGACGTAGCGGGGTGTCTGAAGACCCCCTCTATCCCATTTCCTCCTGTATTAAGCCTTGCTGTTTGATCCTTTGTCACTCATTCACCCAGTCCCAGTAAGAGCCCTCACAGAGCACTGAAGGACCGGCACACTCATTGCACGGAACAGCCGCTCTGGCCGCTAACTCGCCGCCTCCCGCCGCCGCGCCTGCGCCAGCCCTCCCGCCGCCGCCGGACCGCGCTTGCGCGGGGCTCGCCGGGCCGGGGGTGCCGCGGACAGCGAGCCTTGCCCTGTCCTTGCTCCTGCTCTTGTCCCCGTTCCTGCCCGTGCCCCAGCTCTGCCCTGCCCCGCCCCTCCCGGCACGCCCGCCGTTCGCTCCGCAGCAGCCGCACGCCGAGTCGAGGCCGCTGTCGGGAGTTCCACTCCCTTCCCCTCCCCTATCCCTGCTCGGGGCCCGACACAGCCCTCTGGGTGCTTCCCGCCGTCGGCTTCCTTAGAGGGGTCCGTGCCCTCGTCCCTGTCGCGGGATGAAGAGGATCTTCGGGTTCGGAAGGAAGAGGAAAGGGCAGCCGCCGCCCGGCAGCGCCTCCCTGCCCTGCCCCGCCGGTGCCTACGAGCTCCGGCAGAAGGACCTGGGCAAGCTGCACCGTGCGGCCGCCAGCGGCGACCTGGCCCAGGTGCGGCAGGGACTGAGGAAATACGGCATCGACGGGAGGGACAAGGCGGAGCGGTAAGCGCGGGAGCCGCGGGGGGGCTCCGGAAGGTGCACCTACAGCAGCCCCCGGGAGCTCCCCGGCGCAGGGCCGGGCCGGCAGCGCTCCCGGGAGGAGCGGGAGGGCGGGCGCCGCAGCCGAGCGCAGCCCTCGGCTGGCTGTGGGAATCGTGCTTGTGTTGCCAGAAACCTCGTGAATTCGGCCGAGCGTCCAACTGTCGCCTTACCCTTTTTGACCCAGCCTCCTCAGTGCCCTCATTCCCTTGCCTAGGGGCGTAGGAGTGGAAGCGAGCTGTCAGCCTGACAAAGGCGGATTGCAGGAAGAACCTCGCACCCATCGTCCAGCCACGCTTTGAAGTCAAATTGCAAAGTCAAAGTGGGCACCTCTGAAGCTCAGCGTGCACGTTCAGTAGTTGAGGCGAGAGGGATGCACTGCCTCCACTCAGAGGCACTTAAGCGCTGCAGTTAGGAAGGACTTGTAATGTAGAATAAACATGTGCTGCATGCACAGTTACCTTTTGTGATTGTGATGTGGCACCCAAAGCCACTCTGATTTTAGGTGGCACTTACTTGGTTTACCTTGAGGCTTTGGATCAGCTAATGAGTACCTTGGATTGGAAGATATGGCCAGTGACTTAGAGGAAAAGCTGCTTATTCTGACAGGTGCTGTTGTATGGGTTTTTGAGTCAAGCACAGCAAGAATTTGGTAATTCTGTCTTAAGGAGAAGTCCTGGGCTGCAGCATAGTTCCTAGTGATCCAGCATAAGGGAATTGGCTGAAGTTTTGGGGTCTTGTATGTGTCAACCCTTTAATACCTTTTCTGAAAAGGCTGAGTCGAAAGTTTTGTGATATTCTGAAGAGAGATGATTTGACAGAGTAGCTCAGCTTCTTAGGCTGGCTGTCCTGAAGGCTGAACTCACTGAACAGCTCGCTTATTGCCCTAAAACCACCTAGATTTGTAGAAGCAAGGAAGAGCATGGTAAATATCCACTTTGGTAATGTGGATTATGTGCCTGAGTGTTGGCAATTAGTATTTTTTATGCAGTTGGAGATGGTAGATGCAGTTAAAGGCTAATTGAGTGTATTTCGTGACTTCAGTTGCCTGAGTCAGGGTGCCCAATGTTGTTTATGGAATTAGTCATCAGGTCTTAGCAGGCCCTAGTATGAAATATGGCTAGTTTTTGTATTTAAGTTCATTCTCTAGACAGCTTTGTTTCCTCTAGAAGAGTTTCGTTCTGTGTGTCAAGCTATTATCAGTAGCACACTGTAAAAAACATAATCCAAACCAATTTTCTCAATACATGAGGCAGTGGACGTACCGTAGAGCACTGCAATGATTTTGGCACGACAATGCTTAGTGCTGAAAAGCTTGCCTGAGAGGGATTCAGGGGACAGAGTATGCCTGTTTGCTGCGGCCCCTGAACACTTTACCAGCTATGAGGGTTACAGGCCCACTACTCCCTCTTAGTGTTTGTGGGTGTGATGTGTGAACGATCATGAGATGCAGCTGTGTTTCAGAGCTTCATCACATCCTCCAGGGACTGAAAGGCAGGATTGGAAATAGAAGCGACGAATAGGAAACCTGTGAAGCAATGGCTGAAATGCTGAAATGTGCATTGTTCATATGAATATCCCAGTTCCTCTCCTTGGTATTTCCAAAAGCAAAATCCTGCACAAGGGACATGGCAAGTCTCATGCCTACAGGCTCCTTCCATAAAGTGGGTCTTGTAGCCAGTAGGACCTCCAGAAAATGTGTTTGGAACAGCAACAATTAGGAGCAGACAGACTTTTCAGAGGTGGTCTAGCAAAGCCTTCAGCCCTGCTGAAAAAGATAGACAAAACTCGGCACAGAGTTTGAAGCACTGCAGGCATGATGCTGGCGACTCATGAATCCTGGGTCAAACTAATCACTAAGAGATTTACCCTGTCAGCTACCTGTCAAAGTGAACTCTAGAGCTTAGCATTGCATATCTTGTAGCTGCTGGGTTGTTGGCTCAGGTTCCTTTAAATGTGTGTGCCATCAACTCGCTGTTACCTGGTGGCATCCTGATTGAGTTGTTTTGTGGCTGCTCAGACATCAGTAAATCTCTTCTACCCCATGGGTGATCAGTGTATGACTGCAGCAGCAGGAGGAGCTGAGTCTGAGCAGGATCCCCAGGGGGGTGGCAAAACAGCTTTGGTGTTACTGAAGGTCTCTTATGGAAACAGGCAAATGTGAACACTGATGTTCTCCCAGCCCGTTCCCTGAAGTGGATTTTCTTTGGAGCTCAACAGGTCTTGCTCCAAGCAGAGCCCTCCCTTTCCGCTTGGCAGGCTTAGAGGCTTGGTTGGGGAGGGCAGCAACAAGCCCACAGGTTTTCTACAGACTTTCCTGTTTTCGGAGTTGTTAGGGACTTTAATTTCCTAGTGCTTGGTAGTAGCAGCTTTTAGATATCATGGACTCCTTCACTAGAAGTTCTGTTTAGCTTTCAGATAATCTCAGTCAGCCATTTCTTCAGAGATTGCATACTTGCATGGCAATTTTTTCAAAAATTGGTGGTATTTGCTCTTAGGAGCTCTTCCTTGATACTTCAGTTTCTTCCATCTGTAACGAGATATCACAATTCTTGTGTGTTTTTCTTGTCCTCATGTTCTTTGCTATGGAGGGGACCCATCAGCTGCCCTCTAACAAGTAGTATCTGCCTTACAAATTGCTGAGTTCCTGTGTCACCTGCTACTTTATTCATGTACCTCCCCCTCTCTGTTCCCACCCAACCGGGGAAATGTTGTTCCTCTGTCTCTCAGCAAGGTACTAAAACATTTGAAAGGTTAGTTGAGCTTCCATAAGAGGAAGCTACCTACAGCAGTGTGGTTCAAAATGAGTGCAGAGTGAAATTTGTGGTTGTATCTATTTATCAAAGCCTGAAATTATGCCTATCTGTGCTAATTTAATTTATTTATTTCTTAGGACACCTCTGCATCTCGCTTGTGCAAGTGGCCATGTGGATGTAGTTACATATCTAGTAGAAAACCAGTGTAAGCTAAATCTTTTTGACAATGATAACAAATCGCCACTGATGAAGGTATGTGGATTGTATTATGTTCTTGTAAATAAGGCTTAATGATTATGCCCTAAATTATGTATTTTGCAGGATTTTTTATTTAGATATGTGTAGAAAAATACGTATCGTGATTGCTGTGGAAGGGCATATGTTAGCTACTCTTTAAAGGTGCTCTTATTTCCCAGTATTGGGAAGCTGGGGGAATTGTAACAGAGTGAAAGCTAAATGTTGGAAGTTTTTCCTTTTTTGTGTTTTGTTCCCAGGCAGTACAGTGCCAGCAAGAAAAATGTGTGGCTATTCTACTAGAGCATGGTGCTGACCCAAATCTGGCAGATGCTGACGGCAACACTGCCCTTCACCTGGCTGTCCTATCTCCTAATACAGCTGTAGCAGGGCTGTTACTCGAGCATAATGCCAATATTAATGCTCAAAATAAGGTAATGTTTTTTTATTTGTTGAGGAAGTTCTTTCAAAAAGTTGCATTTGTATTTTTCTTGAAGATTCTTTTTACTTTTATTTTTAACTGTGTCTGCCCTTTTAGGAGGGATGTACCCCACTTATTCTTGCTGTCTCCGAACGTCATGAAGAGATAATGGAGTTTCTCCTTAAAAAAGGAGCTAATGTGCATGCTCGAGATCAGTGTGAAAGGTGAGGGGTTTTCAAAACTCTGCATGGGTCTCTATAGTATTCTGTAGGTTCATTGATGAGAGGCATAGGAATGAGCTCTGAAAAAAAAAACTGAGGTAGCCACACAGAAGCTTTTATTTCTGTGTGACTTGTGGAAGTGGGTCATACCTCAGTGGCTTCCTGTCATTCCTCGGTGGATGTTTTCTGCAAGATGGCACTGTCTGTGGTGGCCTTTCTGACAGGAAACCTGCCATTAGCTAAACAGCATTGCCTGAATTTGAAAACCCATCTCCTGCATAGCAGCAGAGTTTGTATGTAATTGTTGTCTATGTGGAAGCTTTGTTTGAAGATCGAACATTTGTTTTGACTCCATCTCCCATTTTATTGTTTCTCATAATACTTAATGAAAAATGCTTTATCTTGTTAATTTTAAAGTAATGGGGAGAATACGTCTTTGAGGGCAAACAGGAATAAAAATAATTACACTTTCTGTGTTAAAGAATCTACTTCATATCATATTTTGGATGTTTCAGAACCCCACTTATGACAGCTGCTTCTGGGGGAGAGGTTAATTTGATAAAAGTTCTTCTTCAGTATGGTGCTGATGTTTCCCACAAAGACACTAATGGATGGACAGCTGAGGATTATGCTGTTATTCATGGGTATTCTAGGTAAATTTTAAACTTTATTGTTAGAGTAAATTGTCAGTTATCAGTGTGGTTTTTGATCATTTTTGATAGCAGCACCAAGGTTTAGTGGTGTGATGAGACCTGTGTTGAAGCTGTGTTTGGTGATGTCTTCATAGAACCGTTTAGGTTGGAAAAGGCCTCTAAGATAATCAAGTGAGACACCAAACTAACACTGCCAAGCCCATCATTAAATCATGTCCCTAAGCACCACATCTACAACATCTTTTAAATATCTGCAAGCCTGGTGATTCAACAACTTGCTTGGGCAGTCTGTTCCAATGCCTGACAACCTTTTCATTGATGAAAATGGACCTAATGTCCAATCTAAACCTTCCTTGGCCCAACTTGAGGCTATTTCCTCCTTGTCTTCTGGTATGTATCATTCCAGTGTCTAATGTTACTTTGGAAGTTGAGGAAAATTTCTACAGAGACTTCTCTGTTTAATTTCAAGTTTTGTTGCTAAGCCCACATCTGCCCAACGTAAACTCTGAAAAGTGTCTGTATCCTACAGTTATCCAGAGGTGGAGCTTGGCAGACTGAAATACATGTAAGCCCTCTCCCCCTGCCAGCACTGTTGTCCTTACTGGCTCCCACTACAATGACCAAGAACTACCAACCTTTTGTTTCAGAGGAGATACAAGTGATATCCCTTTTGTTAAAATCTTGAGCAGTTTTACTCCTCTTATGCATAACTTTGTGCCTGTGGTTGTTTCTTCTCTAGAGTGGATAAGTGTGCTTAAAAGCTAAGCTGAAGTAAGTGTACCAAGCAGGAGTTAATAACTTTTCAGGTTTGAATATGCATCTGTAGAGAATGTGACTGTAGTGAATATTGATGTATGTTACAGTCATGCAGTAAGTGCGTATGAGTGTATGAATCTCTATGGCTATGAGTATGTGTGGGATGGATAATAAGTGGCTGTAAACTATTAAATGGTATATGCAAGTATGTGGTATTTTTTACCAAATATATTTCCTCTCTTTCTCTATGCAGTCTTAGTAAGCAACTGGGAGAATATGCAGACTGGGAAAACACAGTTTCTGCAGGTGGTGCACAGGGCATCACGGTACCTGGCACTCCGCACCGGGCAGGAGCCGCTGCCTTTATGTTGGGTGCACCTGCTGTGGACAGAGGAGGTAAGATCCTTAACCGTGGAGTAGCTCACGAGGAAAATCACTATGGCCTTTCCTGTGGGGGGTTTGTATTGTTAATGCTTACTGTGTTCACCATTGATTTTAGTGGCAGCATCAAGTGGAGCAGCACAAGTTTTGTGAATGTGCTTATTTGTTGCTAGTTGGAGGTGCTTCTTCAGGCTGTGAAAGCATTTGCTTTGTGTGCTATGTGTCCACTTCTTAAGGTTGTTGCCTTCTGTCTGAATGATTGGCCATCTATATAAGTTCTCCTTGAGAGAGGGGAAGAAAGGCAACAAGAAAGAAAATGGGCAGAAGTGTTTTTGTTTTTCAGGCGTGTACAGTTTAGCCATAGATAGCCATTCAGATTGTGAAAATTCAATTACAAAAGCAGTAGGTTCATCCTGAATAGTTGTTCCTCTTCCTGCAGTTTGGAGGCAACAGAGGAACTAGGAGAAAGATACATGTCTTATTGATTTTTATAGAGCTTATGTGTCTTTGTTTTAGTATTAGTAGTTCCATCTGCACTAAGGTCCTTTTAGCAAGTCACCTTATTTCTCAGCATCACTTACAGTTGTTTCTCTGTAGGTGCTGTAGAGACATATTTAGGAAAAATTATATTGTAAAAGTAACTTTGTTAGCAGTAGCATTGCAGTGTCTGTGTACGCTACATTGTCTTGGACATAGCTTGATTTACGATAAAAATAAAGCTTTTCTTCCACTTTCAATAATTTTATGAAATAATTTTTTAAAAAACCTGTTACTTGTTATCCAGAAAAACAAATAAATTGCCTTGTGATCAAAAAATCATTCACTCATTGTGAGTTTTAAAATCTAGCCTATGCTTCTGAGATCACAGAGCCCTAGAGTAATCTTAGAAAATTAATATCATTGTATAAATGAAATAGTTTTTCTTGTACTTTACATCTCAGGCCTTACAAGTGGGAGGTTTTATTCTTTCTGAGTTTTTAAGGGTGTTATATTGAAACTATATGGCAAATGGGCAGAAGACAGTGTTCAAATACTCTTCATTACTCCTTCAAATACAGTTTGTTACTTCTTTTTTAAATATGTCAAGAAATATAAGCAAAATATGGGATATTTTTCCTCTCTGACTTTTCCCAGATACAGGATTTTAATTTAGAGTCAAACTTTGTTGCTTTGACTTAGGAACAGTTGCTTTGATCTAGTTGGAGATTTGTAAAGTTTCTTGGTAGATTGCAGGAAATAATTTTTCTTTTTGAAAGGTCTTGGTACAGGTAGTAGTGCACACAGTTACTGTGTCTGAGAGATTAGTAGCATATAAGGAACATTTATTGACATTAATTTTGCAGGCTCTGGCTTGTACACACAGAGCACAGGTCAATCCTGCATCAGAAGAGTCCCTTTGATATGCTGCAGTAACAGGTTTAGAAGTCTCTGTAAGAGGAAAAGCTGGAATGATCTTGAGAATACAGAGAAACCCATTTTGGAATTACTTTCTCTTCTTTTGCTCTTCTGTACTATTTTTCTGGGATCATTTTTCAAAATACTCTCCTCTAATATGCAAGTCAACGTAGTTAAGGAGTTAGCTTTTGCTTATTTGAATATTTACCCTTTTTCTGTCAGAATGTGCACTTTTTTATTCATCACAGACAAATTTGCAAAAATCTCCCCCCCAGCATATGGAATGACAGACATTTTAGATTTGAAGTTGGAATTTCTTTGGCAAAAACAAATAATTATGCAATTTTTCTAGAGGCAACAAGTCAGAGGGTTTTTTTAGCTACTACTCTGTGTATTAGTGTATTGTTCCTTTTGTGTCTCCCTGAGTCCCCACAGAAACTGTTGGTTTTCCAGCATGGAACTCTTAGAGAAGAAGTAAGTGCCTCAGTGTGATTTGTATTTCTCAAGGTCAGTAAACGTTGTCCAGTGTCATCTCTTAAGAAAATTGAGAAACAGAGAAGGGATGAGAAACCATTACAGTAATTTCTTAACTCTTTAAATGTATCTTTTTGATAAGAGTTATTTTGCTACATTCATTCCATGTGGTAAAATCAGTATAAGCAGGACTCTGCTTTCAACATTGTGAAAAAATTTGGTGTCAGGTAGCTGCAATAACTGAACTACACCATTCATTACCTTAAGATACAAAATTTTCCTAAGTAGGATGGGTAGATCAGGTACATAGTGATTTATATTCTGAGCCTCTGTTCCACAACACACAGACATGCGCACATACAAACACGTATGCAGGATACTCACGCTAGTCAGTTCACTCATTTTGGTCTTGGGGGAACACTGTGACCTCTTGGCAGGTCTGTGTTCTGCTGGTGGCATAGTTTCTCTGTGCGAATGGTTCAGCATGATCAGATCAATGTAAGCAGGACTCCTATCTTCAAAGGTAGGAGGGGTCTGTATTTGCATCAGACACTAACACAACTTTTCAGGGGAGCTGAATTAAGGCAACAAGTTACTGGGTTCCTTTTTTAGCAAGGGATAACTAACATGCTAAAACTGTAACTTAAGATGAGTGAGTGTAAACGACATAATGGCTCAGAGTTGCATAGTGGTATGAGTACTAGGAGCCAAGATTTCCTTCAGATTTCTGGGTAGTCTATCTCCAGTGTTTAGTTGTTGGCACATACAGATTTTTGGGATTCTTTGAGTAAGCATTTTTGTGTGCTATATGTGTACAGCACTCTAGAACCATGAAGGAATTGGGATTGAAGCCTGTGCTAGACAGGGAGTAGTCAAGTAGAGGGAAATACTAAAGTTGTCAGAAGAGTAAATTTCTCACAAATTGTTTCAGTATTTCAAAATATTGAAATATGCATACCTTACATGGAGCAAGTAAAGAGAATTTAGTGTTTGACACTGTACCTTAAGAGTAGAGTTCTATAGATTGTGATTTCTTTTATTTTCAGGACTTACAACTGTAGAGTAGGCTGGTAGTCACACTCCCATTGCTGTAGCTGCTTTGATGTACTGCTTATGTTTTCCAAGTTTCTGGGAATTTTAGTTTATTCTGATGTCATTATTTCGTCTGTCCTTTCCATGCCTTTTCCTAAATGGATATAGGAATGCAACAATCTCCTAACCAGACATCAAGAACAGGAAAATCAAGGAAAGGTATTTTATACAGTAGCATTTCAAATATGAAATATGTTGTACTATATACAAATACTAACACATCTATGATGTTTATTATCCTGGAGGTCCCTATATTGATGGTATTGGTGTTATAAATTGTATTTGAGAGCAGGCTTTGCGTGATTTTTATTGGTTCACATGTTTTGCATTGGTTCTTTATTACTGAATTTTACGTTTGCTTTGTGTCATTAGTGGTAATAAATAATTGTATTTTTACATATGTGCTTCTATTAGTCTGAAAGGGAAATGGACTTCAAATCAAGTAGAAACAAGCAATCCCCAGAGACTGCTTTTCTAGATCCCATTTCTACAGTTATCAGAGTTTGAAAGCTAGCTCATGAACTTTTCCTCTCTTGCCTTGTAAAGGACAATGTGACCTGGTCTTGATCATTTCTTCAAGTTACTATTCATTGAAAGCAAAAGTTCAGAACGGACTTAGCTGTTTTGATGAATTATAACTGTACTAATTGAAAATATAACTGAAGTCACCTGTCAAGAGTGATAACTCCACACTGTCTAGAGACAGCTCTAAGAGATAGATTTTTATTCAACTGGGGATGTTAGCAGTTAGATTAAACTGCTGGTACCAATTGAGATAACAGAAAACTGTTACAACTAATTTATATTTTTTTAAATGTCGCAATAGGAAACATTAAAAATTAGAGACTGTGTTGGTATTTTAACTGTTAGCTGTATTTAACTGTTGCACTGGAAATTTCAGCTTCTAGGTTTTATCTGCGTGACATATACACTGTAGTTCATTGTCCAAAAACTCAGTGCAGGTCAGGAGATGTACTCATCAAAATTCCCACATAAGCCCTGTCTTTAGAAGAGACAAAATTTGCATACTTATTTGTGGTTTACTGCTAGTAGAGGAGATGTGTTGAGGCATGATATGCCTTTGTTTTCTTTTCCCTTGTATGATTCTGCACAAGACCTTGTCATCATACAACTCTTTGGAAGGTCACCAATCTCTTATTTAAAAGCGACTTCATTTTGTTTTTATAGTTAACAAGAATTAGTTATCAAGAACTTGAGGAAATAGCTGAAATAGCTACCATGTGGAGGTTGTTTCTCTTTTTCCCTTCTGTTTTGGGAATTGCAGCGCTCTTTTATTTCATCTTAGCTGTTGATAGTTGAGAGGTTTTAGCAATCTTCAGTCTGGATTCCTGAAGTTCAGGTTTCTTTAGTGCATCAGTGATGTGCTAGAGTGCGCTCTCATCAAGTTTGCAAATAGCTTTAAGTTGGGAGGATCAGTACTTTGCACTTTGGGGCAGTGCTGCTATTCAGGGGCACTGTACCCTGACAGGGTGTGGAAATGAACTGTCAGGCCTGTCTTACAAAATTCAGGAAGGGCAACTGCAAAGGCTGCACATGGAAAGGAAACCCAATTGCTTCAAAACATGATGGGACCACCTGGCTGGAGAGCTGCTTTGCTGAGAAAGTCTGGAGGGTCTTGGCAGAACGTGAGCTGAGAATGAGCCAGCAGGATGCCTTGGCAACAGTGTCCTGGGTTGCATTAAGAGCAGCATTGCCAAGAGATTGAGGAAAGTGATTATCCACTCCTGCTTGGCTCTTGCTGGATTGTGTCCAGCACCCTGGGTATAATATAAAATCTCTTTTGCCTCAAGTGCAAAAGAGATTATTGGTCTTTCAGTGGTGAGCAAGTTCAGTGGAAGGCCATCAGATTTATCAGGAGTAGGAGTATTTGCTCTTTGAAGACAGGCTGAGGAAACCAGGCCTTTTCAACCTAGGGAAGAGGTACCTTTGACAGCGACCTAGCAGCAGCTTCTAGTACATTTGAGAAGACAAAGCCAAGTGCCTCCCAGTGACAGGAGGAGAGATGCGAGGGGCATAAGTAGAAGTGAGTTGCTAATTGGATGTGGGAACAGTAAAGACAGTAAAACAGAGACATTGTAGACTCTCCCTCCTTGGAGGTGTTCGAGACCAGACCAGATAAAGCCCTAAACAACCTTACCTGACCTCATAGCTGAGCCTGCTTTGAGAAGGCAGTTGGCTAAGAGACTTCCTCCATGACCTTGATTTATCCTATGATCCTATGTAGAAGTAGCTTGGAGCATAGTTTAGAATGCCCTGGTTTTGCCCCTTTTGTCTGCTGAACACCCTTTTTGGTGCAGTGTAGAGAACTGCTGGTGATTCTTCCACTTGAGAATAAGCTTTAGATCTTGATTATGCTCTTCAATTTTCTTTACTTTTTCAGAATATTCTGTAACTGGGTAAAGCAGCAGATATCGTAGTATATAGCATAATGTTATACCTAATGCTGCTTAAATTAGTAAAATCTCTGCATGTGATGTATACTCATATGTAATATGAATACTTTGGACATTCTTTTACCTAATGTCTTGCTAAACCACCACTGTTTTGTTCAGTGTTAACTAACATAGCATATTTCTGCTATGTCTTTTTTTTTTTTTTTTAAGTTGAGACATGTTTTTTAAACTTTTAGGTATAAGCATCCAAAGGGGATATAGCTATTCCCTCCTCTCCCCTCTTCTTTCTTTTCTTTTTAATTCAGTGTGATTTGAAAAAGTTTTGTTTTGGACATGCATCCATTCATGCCACCTTGTACTGAGTTGACTCCCTGAAGCATCATTCTATTACGACCTGTAGAGTTGTCCCTATTAAATGTTTATGTGTACTAGTTAATTTTTAATGTGCCCATCTAATTTCAACTAATGTCAATTAATGTTTGAACAGCAGCAGATGACTTTTCCCAAGGAGACTCAATAAGGTGAGACTTTAAAAGTACCTAACGCTTAGCTGAGGAATTACTTGAGAGACATAGTACTCATTTTGCTTTGCTTTTCAAGAACCTCCGAGAAAGAGGGAAGCGATGACAGTTGGCATACCTCTGAGGAAGAGGAACTCGATTTTACCCCCAAGGTATGGTGCGTTTACAGAAAAAATGTTCTGAAAAAATAAGGGACTTGAAGGCAAGTTTTCTTTGGGATTGAAAGACGCTCCTGTTCCAACCAATATTGTTTTCTCTTTAGAAACAATCTCTGGCCTGCCAGCCTTTCTTCTGCTGTGAGTTTTTCCTAAAAGACCTGTAGCTGAGGCAGAGCATGCAGTATTTTTGTAGTTTGGAGCAAAAGAGCAGTAGGTGACAAGATAAACAGCCACATAGTTTTTTATTTGTTCTTGTTCCTTTGAGTCACATTTGCAGACCCTAAAAGTTTTTGAGTTACTATTATAACCTATTCTGTTCTTCTCCATAACCTGTTCTGTTCTTTTTCAAACATTGTTATTGTTTTGTGTAAATTTGGTGATAGATTCCTAACTGATAAAGAAAAACAACATTTATTTATCAAGATCTACATAAATACTTCATCACCTAGTTCTCCTTTCCTCCTCAGCAGGTTCCTCAAGAGTGCTTAATGAATGGATGACTCATATGGGTCATCTTTTTTATTCTATAAGATGACATTCTGTGCTTGCATGTGATCTCACACTGCATGTTTTACTTCTGTTTCTGAATGCTCGGGTAGTATTTTTTTTATCAGTTACAAGCTCTCACACATTGTTTTTACTAATGGTGTGGAGAATTACCAACTTCTGAGTGGTGTCTGCAGCATCTGTTCTGTTGCACTGGAATTCTGCAGTCATGAGGAACCACAGTGTGGTAGTTCAACCCACTCTGTAATGCTGGAGATGCAAGCATGTTTAGTTTTAACATGATTTCATTTTCTTGCACTGATTTAAATAGAAATTATGCATTTTTCTGGCATGATTTTGAAATTTAGGGATATTTTGCTAAGTGTATTTGCAGGGACTAATTTATTCATTAAATCTAGGGATCTTAACAGTTACTTGAGTAGTGCACATTTGTAAGTAAGCATGCTGGAACTGCTATCTTGAATATAGCTGACTTCTACTTAAATATTATTAATATAAGAAACAGATTTTTAGAACTAATATGCATGCAAACATAATTTTGGAAGCAGTTTGTAGAAGGGTGCTAGTTCTGTGTGAAATACTCCCTGAATTGCATACATGAGGAGTGTCTTTGTAGTTAGAAATATAGGATGAGGCCACCACTATCATAAGGACAGTCTGATTATATTTACTGTTCAAGATTTGATGTAAACAAAGGATTTGTTGCTGTTACTGTTAAAAAAATTCTTAAATAAATCTTTGTTTACAGAAGCTGCAGAAGCCAAACTTGACACTGCTAATGAATGCTTCACAGCACTTCAGGAAAAACAGTAAGCTATTTGGAAGAGGTTGCATGATATACCAATATATAAAAGTAGACTTCCTAAGTAGGTTTTAGGTTTTGTTTTTTTTTTTATTTGTGCTATAGTAAATGAGAAAAGTAGCATTTTGAAAACACAGTATTTAATAATTTAGAATGTCATTAAAATTAAGATATTAATCTTCTATTAAGCCTTTTTCCCTCATAAAGTCCAACCTCCATCCTGCTCAACTTTACCTGTTTCCAGACATTCCTAGATGGCTCCTCTCCTTTGCACTAATCTGATAACATTGCTCTTTACTTAACTCCTGTTCACATGCATTTTCCCTTTTCTTGTGCTTTAAGATGATGGTGATGGTTCTAGAATTGAAAGTCCTAAGTCACCAAAGAAAAGTCTCAAACAGCAAATCCCATCAGATGCAAACCTGAACAAAGGAGGCACTGAAGAATTGTTTAATCAAGATGTCTCAGCTGCAAGTAACCTGGAGGAAGAAGAACTGGAGGAGGAGGAAGAAGAGGAGGAGGAGGAAGATGATGATGAAAATCACAGTGGAGATGGTGATGAAGATGATGAGGAGGAAGAGGAGGAGGATGAAGATTTTACTGAAGATGAAGAGGAGGAGGAAGAGCTGGAAGATGAAGAAGCTCAGTCTAGTGAAATACTGGAAGAGGAGCAGGGAGAAAAAACAGAACCTAAAGGTGAAATTAATGGGAAATTAGAGTATTTTAGTAAAGCTAAGTATGAAGAGGAGGCTCAGTGTGAAACTGGAGCTGTCTGCATTGATGATAAAATAAGTAAAGAACATGATGAAAAGGGGGAGGAATCTGTTGATACTCCTGTGTCTTTCATAGCTGGGTGTTATGAAAGGTTGCAAGAAAATAAAACATCAGTGTCTCCAAAGATCATGAATAATGAAGTATCTTGCAAGTCAGTACCAAAACAAGCTGTCTTTCAAAATCTAAATAATCTGCAAGATACACAAGAAAGCTGGAACAGGAAAAGCATGATTCAGGAGAAGTTTCACAGAAATGCTGACTCTTGTTTTGTAAATTCTGAAATGACAGACTGGAAAAAAGGGATACCTCAGCCTCTCTCAGATAGTTGTGGTCTTAAGGAGAAAAAGTCAAGCTTCAGTGATGACTTTGAAAGTGATAATAATTCTTGGTCAGCAGCAAAAAATCCAGGACTTGAAAGAGAAATACCAAGCTCTGTCATTGTTGATCATGTGAGTGATGAAGATACTGAAGAAGAGCAATATGAAGGAGCAGGTGATAAAATCTGTGACCCACTGAAACAAGAAAATGAAAACTTGCGCTTAAATAGACATGAAGAAAATTTGAGAGCATTTCATTCAAGCACCAAAGTAAGTATATACACAAGGGTATTTCCTAAGGGTCATATAGGTAAGAAACAAATAGTACACTGGATTTCTGTTAATATGTATTCTTCACATACATGCATCATTTGATCATCCATTTTTAATGTTAGATAATGTCTTACTCCTAGCCAAAACAGTTTCTTTGTTATAAGAATATGGTTTTGCAGGCAAAAGAATAGGCAGTAGACTCTCTGGAATTAGTTAGAATTTTCTCAGTTCGATGTACAGTTTTTATCAGTGAAGATTTACTGCATGGTACGATGGCTGAAAGTGAGAAAACAAAAAGAAATTTGCAGAAGATTGAGAGCAGGAAGCTAGTGATTTTCCTTGGAGCAAAGTAGGGGAAGAAAAGGCATGTGTTCCAGAATGACGTAACTTAATGAAACTAGAGGTAGACTGACATGAGGAACTGCTGATGTAGGAACAGCAAAGAATGCTTATTTCTGTTCTTTTCAGCTGCTTTAGTTGATCTCTTTTAGGAAGAATCACCTGAACAGGAAGAAAAAGTTGAAGAAGAAAAGCAGGAGAAGGAAGACACGGGTGAAAAGCTACAAACTACAGTTACTGAGGATGTGAAAAATTCTGTTTGTAATGATATCTCTGAAGTTCATGATGCTTCAAAAGACAAGTCAGGTGAGAGAAATGAGTTAGTACCTACTGATCCCAATTCTTCCTCTACAAATATTAATGCACAGAAAATTAACTAAAATGGTGATTGACTTCTGAGATAGCAAAATTTTCCCTTCCTTACGAATCCCATTGGGTACTGGCAGAGAAGGAAAGCAGCTTTCATTCCTTTTCATTCGTTCTTGAAGAACTGAAATTGTAGCACTGTATTCCAAGCAATGCAATATGAAGTGTGGGGTAAACATATGCAGATATTCTTCCCAAGAATGCCAAGACAGTGGAAGGATTAAAAAAAAGATTTATTTCAGATGTAGGGACAACTTTTTTACAATGTTGCATGCATTGGGGCCTCTAGGGGCAAAGGCAATGCCTCGCCTCCTTCAAGGATTTTTGTATCTTGTCTCTCCTCCCTCACCCTCTCTGGCCCAAGGAGGCCTTGTACATGTCTGCAAACATGTGTCTTTACGTGCTCATTTGTATGCATTTTACCATAATCATGCATTTTGGCATGGTGTCAGTAGTCAGAGTCCAGGCTGGAACCAGCAGTTACCTCTTCTAGGGTGGGTGCCCTCACTGGTCTCCAACTCCTTCCCTCTACACAACTGAATCCTGAATCTCTTTTACCTGATGAAGTAGCTTAAAACAGAGAAATAAGATAGAACAATCTGGCCAGGAGCCCACTGAGACCGAACATTAAAATCATCTCACTAGAGAAGAGGTTTGAATTTTAAGCCCCTGAGATAGAAACGGCTTTTGTGTCTTGGAGTAAGTGTTTGAGCTGTGAGCCTCTACTCTGTTTTTAAAAGGCAGTTCTTAGGTGTGCAGCTTCTGGGAAGGTGTAGTGTTAACTCTGTCAAGGAAGATCTTTCTTGGTAGTTCTACAAAAGAACAATTGGGTTTTGGTGACTTTAGTGATGTTAGTGTGAGGATGGTTTGGATAGTGTTTCTCCCCTGTATGGTGGAAAGTGATAGTAAATGCCAAATTCTGGAGCTGTAGGCTGCAGAGAGTTGATCTAAACTCTGTACACAACAGGACTGCAGCATACTGGAGTCTATTTCTGAATGTTACTCAAAACGAGTTGGATATTGCCTGTAGCTGTGTCAGCTGTTGTGCATAGTCATCTTCTGCTGGAAAGGAAGGAAGAGGAACTGTCTATGTAAGGGGCATACCATGATGTGTCTGTGTGTGCAGAAACCCTTTAACACGTGAAAAGGGGAGATTTCCTCAATCCTCATTGATTTGTTTGTCTGTCAGTGCCCCAGGAAAGCTGAGACCCTTGTGCCCAACCTTGTCCTCTTATGGGGACCCATCACCAAACAGTCCTGCTGGATCAGAGAGCAATTTGACTGCCCATTTTAGGGGGCTCAGCCAACAGCATAAGGGAGACCCCTCAGTGGATCTTCCCAGTTTATTCAAGTGTCTTACCCACTGCGAGCACCTGTGAAGGACTCACACAAACAGTTTGCAGAATAACACTTTATTAATACAAAACTGTGACAGGTCAAGGTTCAAGGATCACTGGTGATAGTATCTGACTGCAGAGATGCTTTTAAAGCAATACAGACAAGCTCTAATCCCAGTAAAAGTGTTCAGAACATGTAGAGTACAGTTCTTACCCAACAGACTCCCTACAGGTTCAACCCATCAACTGATCCCAGCAGTTATGATGGAGTCTTCCCTAACTTTTCCTCCATTTTCTACTTACTTTTATACTACTGCTTTATGTTTAGTTGGAGCTTGAGTGACTTTAGTCCCAAATACCTTTGTTACTGATTGGTGCAAAATTCTCTCACTTTGCTTTTAAAGATGCAGTCAAAAATTAGAGAGCACCTGCCCAGGGGGGAGGGGTCATTCCTTGGGGGTGGGTAACTTTGGGATGGAGGTGAGTGTTAATATTATAATTAGGCTTTAATGAACCAAGTTCATCCAAGGAGAGAGGTTTTGCTACAGCTCTTAGCTCAGCAGCAGGACATCATCTCCTATCTTCCTTGGTTGACAGGTGTTATGTGGGTTATCAGCTGCAAGGTGCCACTGAGTTCCCCTCCCTGCAGGGATTTCCAAAGAGCCTGACCATGGTGTCTCCACTCCACGCTCTGTTCCATTCCTTTTAGCAGGTGGTTACTTATGGTTGTGTGGGGAATCATCATGGAACATGCCAACTGCATTCCATGCAGGGAGCAGCAGTTGCATTTTACCCTGTAATTTCTGTACCATTATAACTTCTGTGTGGATGTGAATATAACTTCTCAGTTTCCTCTAATTCTTACCACCAGCCATCTTCCCACACCCTTGAATAAAACTCACTTCTTAGTTTGTCCTCAGCAATAAAACTTGCATCTTTTGGATGCAAGTCTTGACTGATAGAGAAAAGCAGAGTGAAATATAAGCACTCAAGCATCTCACTTCTTACTTGATTTGTAGGTACCCTGCCAGCAGTGAGAGCAGAGCAAGAGGAAGATGCTGAATCTCCCTGGGATTCTGAGGTACTTTGTGTGAAGGACACGGGTGTTCCCACTGCAGGGGGTAGGAGTAAGATCCAGAAGCACTTGAGAGCTTCCCTTTGGCTTGGGCTCTACTGTTGATAAGGCTTATTTCCTCTTTTCCTGCTTTTTCCATATGTTTGTAACTGGGGACCCTTTAAATATTTCTGTTCTAGGCCAGCTGTTCAGTTAGGATTGGGATGAAGTTAGATCAAGCCAATGGCTTGGATCTCATAGCAACCGGCCTCTGAGTTCAGTTTCTAGTATAATATTGAAGTAGTGAACTTCCTTGTTGCTTAAAATACTCTTACCTTTTCCCAGAGGCTGGCAGGATTGATGCTTTTTCACCATTCAGTTCTAGTCTTCTGACCTGATCAGCAGTTGCCTCTGCAGTCTACAACCTAGACAGTTACCTCCCTCTGAATAGGTCCTTTTTACCTCTTGTGGTGTACTCTGGCCCTTTTTGAAAGTTACGTTCAACAGAGACACCACACATGCTGGCTGTGTTGTCCTTTTTAATTCTTTCTGTCCGTGGTAATGAGCAGAGTCTGTAGCTACCCCACTCTGGCTTTTCTTATGAGGAAAACTGGACTCTTCCCATGCCTTTGTTAAAAATACAAGACTAAAATGTTATTATTTTTAAGGTAGTTGTAAGCTTTGCCCTGCTAGTCTTTGACCAGCCCAAATGACCCTTGTGACTGAGAATAGCATTGTGTTCACTCACTACTGCAGGATATGTGCCTAGGGAACATCAGCACAAACTTGACTGTCAGTTACAACTTCAGTGCAAATATTGGATCACTGCAGACCTGCAACTGTTGGTTCACAGTCTGCATCTTGAGTTACCACATTAATTCTCTTCTGTGGTTGTCCGGTTTGTCAGTGTGACAGAATATTTGAGATGAGTTGTGAAGTTTTTGCCTAAGATCTGGAAACAGACACAACTGTTGTGATTTTCCAGTATACTATGTCTTGATGAATTCTTTCCAAGGGTACGGTGAAAGGTTTTTGTATCTCTAATATACTTGATGCCATGCTATGCAAATTGACTTAAGCAGGAGCTTTTTCGTAGAAATGATTGAAAATGCATTTTACCAATTCTCATTCATGTGTTTTGGGTTACACAGGCAGATTCTCAAAGTCTGAGAAAAGTATCATCCAGTATGTTGCTCCCAGCTGCAGAGAGACACGAAGTATGCTCCCATATTGTTTCAGGGGAGCACAACAATGGTAACTTCCTGGTGGCCTAGTGTTTGTCTGTAAGCTTTTATAGGCTGAAGTGAACTTGTATGTGTTTGCCTTAGAAGCGCTGTCATGATGTGGGTGTGAGCTATACCAGTGAGATGCTTACTGTTAATTAATGCCTTATCACAGTGCTTGCCAACCAGTTTGCAAAGGAAGTTGTTTGCATTATGTGTGTTATTTGGACATGTTTCTATTTTCTTTGATTCAGGTTCTTGTTGCAGTGATGAAAGTGTATGTGATTTAGGATTGACCCTTTCTGAACATTTAACTGTCTTGGATGATAATGCAGTGTAAAGACAGCTGTGATCTGGCTAAACATTTTTTTTTCCTCCTAGTTCAACATTTGATATCTTTTTATTGTGCTGTGTGTAGGGGCTAAAATAGGACTAAAAGTTCAGGTTTTGTTGCTGAGGATTTCTGCCTGTAGTTTGTGACACTGTCTTCTGAGCATCTTGAGCAAAACATGAGCTCCCAGGAGCTTGAAATATAGTTGTTAAGTATTTGTTGTGGACGTCTGCTTTGCATGATTCTACTAAGACATCAGTGTAAAAAGAGGGTAAAAGGTGATTATGGTAATCTTGCTAAGGTCTTTCCGTCCTGCTAGATGACCAGGTTTAGTGAAATCAGATGCTGTTTTTTAATGTTAGTTTGGAGTTTTTTAAAATATAAAATTTTTGCCATGGAGCCATGATTAGTAACATTTCATGCACTTACATCATGAGAGGACTCAAACTGTAAGATGACTAACATAGAGGATTTGAGAAATATAGGCAGGGCAGTAGTTTCTGTGGGTTTGGAAATGATTCAATATTGGGCAAAATTAAAAAAAAATATATGGAACTGTGCTATAAATGTAGATTAAAAACAAACAACATCTGTTTCTGTTGTTCCCTTGCAAGCTAAACCACAACAATCTGATGAGGACTGCCTTGATTTTACCTTGTTACACATGTATGGGATTTCTGTGTCTGCACCTATGCTTTCAATGGAAAGGAAAATGCACTTGGGGAATAATCATGGTCATAATGCTGTTTTATGATCATTCATTACAGCACACCAGCTTTGGCTTTTGAAATAATCATTTTAGAAAGCAGAATTCAGTTCCTCAAAAGGACTAAATATTTTCATCTTGTTCTGTTAACAAGCATGACCTTATTGCTTCACATAAATTATCTTAGTTCTTTGATAATTATTTTTTAAATGCAAGGTGCATGATGAGAAGTGTGCATTGTTCTTTTCTTGTATACTAATGCAGGTGCTGCATGATGAGGTAAATTGAATGTTGATGAAATATTAGTTGTAATCTGGATGAAATAATGCTTGTGACTTGTTTCTGCTTAGTTGTAGAAACTACTGGTGTTGAATGGAGTAAAAGATACCCTCAATTAAATAACATTTTCCAAAACATTTTTCACCTTCAGGTTTTTTTGAGAAACCCAACAATTCACAGGTGAGTATTTTTTCGTATCAGACTAACTACTTATTCTGCTCATTAAATAGTATGTAGTTACTTTGGTGTTTTATCACTGAATTGTTTTTCCTAGCTGAAGACTCCCAAATCTGCTTTGGAAATTAATGAAACCTCTCCTAAAAACAGACAGCAGAAATCAGGTAATGTTCTCTTCAAGTGGTTTGGGGTTTAGCTTTGTAATTTTTTAAGGAGTATTTAGTAAGGCATCTGTTTTGTGTTTGGCAGATCTATTGCAGGAATTTGGTTTAGAAGATGCTGAGGACATTGAAGGTATCGTAACAGTCTTTTTGTAATGTTCTTTTATGGACAGACACATAGTACCAGCAGATTTTTTCCTAATATTAAATTAATGTTTCTAGCAGGGTGTTCTGGAAGCAGGTGGTCTACTGAAATATGCACCTGTATGTCTTTGGTCCCTACCACTCAACACTAAATACCCTTCTGTGATGTAGGCTTCCTCCAGCATACATGCTGTCATCTCCCCTTTTCAGGCAGTCCTGAGGTTTGCTTTCCTTCCAATTTGCATACTATTTTTTAATATTACAAGCACTGAAAGCTGGTTGTAGCCAGGTGGGTGTTGGTCTCTTCTCCCAGGCAGCTAGCAATAGGGCAAGTGGACAAAGTCTTAAGCTGCAGCAGGGAAGGTTTAGGTTAGACTTTAGGAAGAAGTTCTTCATAGAGAGAGTGACTGGGCATTGGAATGGGCTGTCCAGGGAGGTGGTGGAGATCTTTTAAGAAAAGATTGGATGGGGCATTTAGTGCTGTGGTCTAACTGACAACATAGTCATAGGTTGGACTCAATGATCTCAGAGGTCTTTTCCAAATCTGGTCAATTCTATGATTCTGTGACTGCCTTTCCATAGCTCATTTCAGGTCAACTGTTTTTCCTGTGTGTCTTTAATGATTTGTCATGTTGGGTTTTAGTGATGTGTTATCTTGAAGATCAGATATTGAAAAGTCCATGTGAAAATTTCTTTCAAATGTTTAGACTTGAATTTAAGCAATTTAAATTGCTTCAGCAAAGCATCACCATTCCTGAAGCACAAATATTTCTAACTCTAAAAGGACTAAGTGATATCATTCACAAGTTTATGTAACGAATCTGGGAAATAGGTACAGTATCTTGCACAATTAAATATTGAACAAGATGAAATTTCCCATTCTATTTACTTTGTTGCTGACTCATAGTAATAACTTCTTAAAATCTATTTTTAGGTCAAAAGTAAGTAGTGATATTCTCATGTTTTCAGTACAGGAGGGTATCTGCTTTGCACTTTAATCTGGAAAAAGTCATTTTGTAAGACAATTTATGAGAAGGGAAATGTCAGAAGACAGCAGAGAGGTAAAGGCTAATTGGAAAGAACACTAAAAGTCATATTTTGATGTCAGCTAGAGAACAGGCAGAGTAAAAGGTGGGGGATTTGCATGTTTTGTATGCACAGTGATCTGTGTTAGGCACAAAGCCAGATTCATTTAACCCCACTGCAGGTATCAATTAAGAAAAATACATGCTGGTATTAAATGACTGGCAAAAATACTGGTTAATTTACTTGGGGGGGGAGGGTTTAATTTTTTTTTTTATGGTAGGCTCTTCAGAAGCTTCAGACCAGTGTTCTACCAGTGTTTAACTAAAAATTTCTCCCCATGCTAAAAGTGAAAAAATCTTAACAATTGTTATCCCTCTTTCACAGACAGTTGACAATAATACAGAAAATAAACTCTTGAATCACTGCATTGAGACGAACTTTTATTTTCAACAGCTAATGAGAGAAGTTCTTATATCTTTCTACTTTGTTTTTGAATTATTTTTCCAATCACTAGTAAAAGAATTACTGACACAATGAGAACTGGAATTTTGAAGATGGAATGACGTTGCTTTTTGTCTTTCCTGTCTTTTTCCTTTTTCTGTATCCATTATAGAGAAATTTCAAGATTGATTAAACCCTATGTGAAGTAAATCTTATGTGCTCCAAAGAACCTGAAATCTTACCTGAAGACTGAGATTTCAGACTCAAATAGTTGCTACTGAAGACTTTACTGATGAGCAAGCCTAAACAGGAGTTTGTCTTCTTTCGATTATAGCAGTCTTGCTAGTGATGATTTATGACACTCACTGCAGTAACTTCTATGGTGCTGTCTACAAATGCTCCCTGGCCACCAGCACATCTCTTCTCTGTTTGTACTGCTGGTTGAAGCCTTCGCCTGCACCAGCAAACAGCTTGATATTGGGATATCTATAAGCATGAGTAAAGTCTAAAGCTAATCTATGATGCTGAAAACAAGAAAAAGGGGAAAATGCCTGTGTTCCTTATAGAACATTATCCTTCAGTAATTATTAATGATTGCTGTTATTACTGTCTTTAATATTTGTCAGACTGTCTGCAGTGTGTCACAGTCATCAATAGCTCATCATAACAAACCTGTGAAATAAGTGCTGTCAACCCACTAATGACTAACTTTTGTTGGGAAATACCTTGTGCTGAAATGCTCAAAAAACAAATCTAACAAAAAATCTAGGAAATTCTACCCAGCAGTGATGGAGGTGGGAGGAAAAGGTTGTTATTTCACACTGTGTAACTTGGGATTAGAATTGACTTCTGGAGACCTATATATGAATGACTGAGGAGTTTGGGTTCCCAGTTCAGACATATGAGCTGTAACTCAAAGCCTGTAATCCCCTTCAAGAAGTGAAAGCTTTCAAAAGCAGTCCCCTAAAGCAGAAAATGCCAGAAGTGAGATTGGCCCTGTGACTCATTAATACTGTGCCCTTTATTTTGTATTTTTATGGTAATATCTACCTATTTTTCTCTATCTCCCTCATTTTTCTTGTAGAAAGGGTATTGTGTTCCTCTTCAGCAGTGAAACTTCGTGTACTTAGAAACTGCTGTTGCTTAGAAATCGTAGAATTACGGAGCAGGAAAGGAGGTGCAGAGTGATTAAAGTTAAAAGCCTCCATCTCTTGTGTTTAGATTCCACACTTGAGGTGCTGGGACTTGTTTATTTTTGCATATTTGTTACTTAAAAGCGTTCAGTGTGCCTAGACAGAGTGACTACTTCTGAGAGGTTTGTGACTGCCTATATTATATAGAAAGTCCAAGAGAGGGAAGAGTGGAATCCAGTTTTCAACAGTATGAGTGAAATGTTCAGATACTGTTTCTCAACATCACACAAGTCTGTATTTCATTTAGTGTCCCATCCATCTCTCTTGCAGCAGCTTGAAATGCTCAGTCCAGATCTGTGTCTAAAGATAGATTTGTTCCATGCGTAAAGTTGGGGCCTCATAAGATTTCAAAGCTTTATAATTTTTTTCATGATTTTCTGTGCACAGCCCATAGGGAAATTAAAATTGCTGGAGGAACATAACTGGTTACTGAATAGCACACAGTGTGTCAGAGAAATTGAGATCATGCACCTTTAAGAAACAAGATTGGTTTACTTGTGCCCATTTATAGTGAATTTCAGCAAATTTCCTTTATACATTAAAAGCTAAAATGCTCTGGGAGAAAGCAATTCACACAGATACATCTTAAATCTCTATTACAGTAATTTTCTTTCTAGGAGCTCACAATTTAGAGGGGATGTGTTACTTTATGTTAAGATTTGTCTCACAAATATGATACAAGATGCACTCTAGGTGTAAATAAGTAGAGTTAGGTCGTACTGTTTATCAAAACACTTGTTTTCTCACTGTAGGTGAGTTCTCAGGATCTACCTTTCATATGTCATCATCAGCTGAAAAAGATGATGTCAAGGATGCCCTTGAAAACTATGGGGTGTGGGTATGTAACACCAAATATTTTGAATTAGAGTCTGAATCAGTAAATTGTATTATACGCTAATATAAAGAAAACTTACCAATCAATGAATGATTCTGAAGGGAAAGTCCTGTAGAAATTACAGCCTGAAGTAAACGGGATGCAGTCTTCTTATGGTGGGGAAAAATCCTTATAATTATATTGGATACTTGCTGTTACACTAATTTGTTTGCAGCTGGTTTGCCTAAATTTTGTTCGGTGTTTTTCCTTTTGCATGGTGCTGGGAAACAGTGTAGTGAAATTCATTTTTTATCCTGTGCAAAAGGCACATTCAAGTAAACAGGGAGATGTGTATATAATATGCTGATCTGTTTGATTAAACATACCAGGTAAAAGAAAGATGAAATAAAAAAAATTAAATGTTGTGACCTTCTTGATGCTTTCTCTACCTCTGCCAAATACATGCTTGTTTGGCCATGTTAGTAAGTGTTTGAGAAAGGTTTATTCAGAGGGCATTCTAGAGAGGAATAAGGCAGCTTGGAATGGAATTGAAAATTTCTGAATCTTGACTGAAGAAATAGGCCTCTCCTTAGCCAATTCTCTGTGTGGTGGACAGTAAAAAGCTTCTCATGTTGATTAACAGTGTATTAGCTTAGCTAGCCAATACACTGCCAGACAGTGGAAAACAATGGAGGATGAGAAAATGTTGGCAGTTACAAAGAAAAATGGTATTAAAGCAATAAAGCATGAAAAAATAAATTGCTTTCTAATGAAGGCCACCAGTTAGAGAAAGCAGACAGGCTTAAAGGTAAAAGTAACCCTAATGTCCAGTCAAGTCTAATCCAGAAAAACTGTTGTCTCTGAAGTAAGTCCTTCTGTTTTTAAGAAAGAGATGATTCAGTGAACTGTTAATTTAGTATCCCTTGCTTTGTATTATAAAAATTGTTTCAAAAATACCTTAATTCTATTATTTCTATTATACGATAGGATGAGTTTGCAGCAGAAATTACTTAGATTAACTGTAACTTCTTTTTTCTTGGTAATCTTTTTGTCTGTACCTGTTTACTTAAGGATAAATATATTTTAGAAACTACCAACTTGATAGAAAAAAGAGCACATGAAAATCAGACTGACAAAGCAGAAATTTCACATCAGGAAGCCCTAGCAGAAAATGAGGAATCACACAGTGCTGATAAGGAGTTAAGTCTGAAACCTTGGGAAGAAAGATATGAAAAACTGTGGATTGAAAAGGAGAAAAGAGAATTGAAAACAAATTTTAAAAACATTACAGCAGAATTGAAGCAGTTGTTTGGTGAAAATGAAACTGGGAAAACTGCTTCCTATGTGAAAGAAATACCAGAAGATGGCTTTGGTGAAAAATTGAAGAGTTCTTTCATTATTTCATCTCCTGTGACAGAATCAAGCAGTAAGTTAGAAAGCAAAGGTGAATTTGGAGATACTAAACTTATCCTAGATGGAAAAGTACCCCAAATGAAAATTGTAATTCCGAGTCTTGGTATCCTTCCTGATGAAAATAGTGTAAAGGCAAATGTGGAAGATACCTGGAATAGAGATGAAGAAGATGGCACTAACAATATGGATAACAGAAAGGTGTCTCTGGCAAAAGGAGAGAAAAAGAGAATGCCTACTATCGAAACAGAAGAGAATGATAATGGAAGTAGTGAAAATGCAGAGGAAGGTCCTGCTTACTCCCTGAGACATAGCTTAAAATCAAGTATTTTGGGTGACATTTCTAATACTCTTCCTAAAATAAGAACTGTTTCTACAAGTGATGAAAATGCAGTTTTTGTAACAGAAAGGAAATTTGAAAAATACTCTGGATTTAATGATGATGTTCACAGGAACTACCTTATCAACAATAATAATATAGGAGAAACAGAAATTGAAAGTATTTTTGCAAATGCTCAGCAGTCTTGTGGCATGCTTGAAAGGAATCTTGATGAAGAACTGAAACAAGATATGGAAAGATTTAAGAGTAAGGTAGGAATGCTGCAAATAGTATTCCTGGCTTTGGAGAAAGAGAAGGTACAGCTGCAACAAGAGGTAGTTCACCTGCTACTCTTTATTCTTTAGGCTCTCTCCATATCAATGGTCCTGTTCACTTTAGCTATTCATCATTAAGTGAAGTTGTCTTGTGCCAATTGGTTGTTGTTTTAATGGAAACACAATACTTATGAATAAAGAGAGCAGCAGAGAGTTGCCCTTTTTGCCCTTTTCCTCCTTTTTGGAAAACACGGAATGCATTATTTTTCCAGTTTAACAGTAGGTGGCACTTAGTTCCAGTGTAAGTAGTTATCACTTAATTGACATAAAAAGAAGTGCACACAATTAAATCAGTTCTGATTCTGACACAAAGAATGAAAATAGCTTCTGAACAGGTCTTTACCAGTCTTTTCATTTGCTGTGATTTCTGCATGATGTGTCTTCATTGCCCTTCACTAAAATTCGTGTTTGCTGTGAAATGGTTTCTGCCTGTGCGTTTGGAATCTTCTCCCCTGCCACACTACCCACTCCCCATGGAGGAAGCAGTAACCAAACACATTTCCACTTGATTTTTTTTTTCTGTTTTTACAACTAACATTGTGCAGTCCTTCTAACTCTTTAATCCATCAGTAATGCTTTCACTGCTTTGTTGTTCATGCTTTAAGATACATAATTGTTTTCTTTCTGAGGACTATGTTTCTGTTCTCTCATGGAACCATAGGTGAATTTGAAGTACTTTCAATGACAACACGCTTTGTAATGTAATTTTTTGAAAATACTTCTCTGTGTTACTTCTCTTTTCATTTTTATTTTATGCTTTTTCAGAAGTAGACACTGAATTATTCAATCCTGCATATTGGGTTTCTCTTTTCTGGAAATACTGAGAAATACATGAAACTTACCTTTCTTTTTGTAGGTTGAGAAGGAAAAAAGCAAACAAAGATGTTTGAAAATGCAGAAGGTGGCAAAACAGGAAGATGTTGCTAAATTAAGTACACCGCCAGACAACATTACTAGTAAGGAAATGAAAGAAAAGCTTACTCTAAGGAAGAATGACTGTCTGAAAATGGAGAATGAAGACAGTACAGAAGAAAAGGACAAAAAGAATTTTTCAGCTGAGGAGAGGTCAAAATTGATTAAAAGGCCACTGAAAGGGTAAAGTGAAGATAAGATCTCTAATGCTTATTTGTAGCATTACTCAAGTATCTGTTAGGTTTACTAATACTTTACTAGTTAAAGTAGTGTCCTTAGTACTGAAAGCCATACTGAGTAGTCCACTGAGTCACAGACATTCAAGAAAAATAATTTAAAAAAAAACCCAAAACCTAAGCTCATAATCGAGGTTCAAATTTATTTCCTGTTTTAAAAAGAAAATGAAAAAAAAAGAGAAACCACATTCCTGTGAATTTCCTTATAATATTGAGGCAAAATGAGCCTTCACAACGAGAGTCAAACACTGAAAAAGACCAGTTATTTCTGTAGGAAACAACCACCCAGAAAAGCCAAGTAGGAACTTGCAGTTTATTTTGCTGTCTCCCTTTTCTAGGTGATTTTAAGTGATCTGCATGCCAGTGGTGTTTTCAATAAGTTCTGATGCTGTTTGTCAGGAAAAGGGAAAAGATGATATTACCAAACCAATCTCAAAAATTTGAAGGAAGCACAGATATTTTTAGGTAATCCTAAGCAGGAGTGTTTCTTTGGCTGTGCTTCAAAGGAATGTCTGTTCATGATACTCTTTAAATAGGGATATAAGATATTTCAGCTTTCCTGAATCTAGTTCAGGTTGTACATTTCTGCCTGATTCCTATGGGAAGGTTTTTTAAATACTTGTAAATACTCTACAATCTTTGGACTTAAGTCTGTATTTTATCAGAGATATTTTTTTTGTCTCAGTTGTTTCTGGACATCATCTTAAGTATGTCTGTTTCACAGAAATGTTTTCTGTAAAATTACTCAACTCATGATTTATTTTTTTCTTTCTACTTAATGCAGTGAATTTGCCCTGAATCCCGAAGTTGCAAAGATGCATAAAAGACAGACTTTGAAGCAGGCAGCTAATCAGCAGATGAGCTCCTGCAGTGGGAATCATTTTCAAACACTGGATGATAGCACTTTCAGTGAAACATCTCAAGATGAAGAAAGGTACTGAAGATAAGTTTTATAAATAAAACTTAATAATAAAAATTGACCTAAAGCTGAAGGGAAGTTTTTTGTAAACCTGATGTGTACAATGGTTCTTGTTCTTTCATATGGCAACATGACCTGATGCCTTTTGTATTCCAAAACACCTATTTTTTTGATCAGAGTGCTTAGAACATCCTAGCCAAGTTAATTAAAAGGTCGATGGGCACAAATGCTGAATAATTATTAAGAAAACAGAGTCTCAATACTGAAGAGAGCTAAACCTCTGGTATTAAACAGGGAATGCACATAACTGTGTCTGTCTACATATCTGTAGCTGTACAATTCCTATCACTTTGAGTGAAGTGCAGAGAACAATTTTTTCAAGTATTTGTTCAATATCTTGTGGGAAAAAATAGTCTTCCAATAGCAACAATGATAGACAATTTTTTTTTCCAATATTCAACTACATCTAACAAAATTCTTATATTAAATTTTACTTCAATTTCCTTCTGAAATTAGGTTTTCCAAGCAACTTTAGATATTGTTCATAATGCAAGGTAAACATGCCAGAACTGAAATACATTTCTGTTTTCCAGACCTGCAGCAAAAACAGGGAGTGAAAAGAACAAGGTATTGTAAATTAGTTTCTTGATAAATGGTTTTATCAGCTTTTAATCACTTAGATGGGATCAACCAGATGCACAAATTGCTGCTAGTATGCACCTTTATCATACTTGAGCTAAGTTTATGGACTGTGAATGAGAAAATGAGTCATACATGCATTTGTAAGGATCTGCAATACTATATAGCTGTATACAGAAAATATTCTACTGTTTGTAGGTTGGCATGGATGTAACTGATGACCTTGATTTAACTCACTCATCTGACACAACTTCAGAGGATGTTGCATTACCAACATCCACCTACAAAGAGGCTTTGCTGCTGTTAGAGCAGCTCAGCGTGGATCATACAGGTATGTTGTAAAGTCACTTTTTCTTCAGATGTTACGTTTCTCTTTTAAAACATGGTTTCTTTGCATGCCCTCCTAGATATTTTAGTTTCTTCTTTCTGTCGAATATTTGTTTATGGGTAGAGAATGGTCTCAAAGGATGTGAAATGTTGTCACTTTAACTTGAGATGCCTCCCTGCATTGTCAGTACACTTGCTTTACTTTATCATCGGTTCTCTGTTTAGTCAGAGCTGAAGAAACAGATTCTTGCAAAGTATATTTGAGCTTCTCCTAATACATTCATTACCTGGGAAGGTAATGCATTATTCAAAACATCCCTCTCTTCCTTCTTCTTCCCCCAGCTTTATATACTGAGCATGATTGCCATAGGATCTGGGGTATCCCTTTGGTTAGTTGGGGTCAGCTGTCCTGGCTGTGTCCCCTCCCAACACCTTGTGCACTCCCGGCCTCCTCGCTGACTGGGTGGTAGGAGAAGCAGAAAAGGCCTTGTCTCTGTGTAAGGCCTGCTCAGCAATAACAAAACAATCTCTGTTTTATCAACACTGTGTTCAGCACAAATCCAGAAGCAGCCCTATACCACTGTGAAGAAAATTAACTCTGTCCCAACCTAAACCAGCATACCCCACAAATAGTGCAGCAAAATAACAGCTTTACTTAAGCACACGTGCGCACACACACACACATGCATATATATATATATAAATAAACTGTCATAAGAAGATTGCATATATACACATAGCATTACAGAAACGTAAGCATCACTTACGTGAAGGATTAACATTGGCTAGAGGCCAAACTTTTAGCAGCTGGGCAGCTGCTCTCTCACTGCCTCTACTCAACAGAACAAAATAGGATCAAAAAGCTGGAAGATCAATACAAAGGCAGGACTGTCACTTACCAGTTACTGTAATAGGCAAACCAGACTTCACTTGGGGAAACTTACTTTGTTACAGTTTAAATTAATTTGAACCGTGAGAAACAAAACCAAAAAAATTAAGATTCCCTCCACCCCATTCTTCACTGACCTTCACTGTTTTTCATGTTGTTTCCCCCTTTTCCTTTACCTGTGTGGTGGTTTTGCCCTCTCCTAAATGTTTTTTCCCCTGAGGTGCCACCAGCATGACTGAGAGGCTCAACCTTGCCCTGCATTGGGTCCATTGGAACTGTCTCTGTCTGGCACGAGGCAACCCCTGGCCTCTTCTCAGAGACCTCTGCAGTACATGCAGTCTTCCCACTACCAAAACTTTATCACCTATGCCTAATTAAATATTTTACACATTATGAGGTATTTGTGCATATGTGCAGCTTTATCTTTCTATCTCAAAATAGGTTCTGCTATTTTATTGAAAATTCAAAACATACTTCTTAAATATGAGCAAATAATAGAACATGAAAAAAATCGGTATACAGCTGTCTGTAAAGAAGTAAGAAAACTGGAAAGTGAAAAGGAGGAATCACAATTAATAGCAGAAGAGACTCAAGATTTGAAATCTATATTGGCTCACCAAGAAGTGGAATGGAAAAGTGATATCCAAAGCCTTAAGTATGTATCCTTGTGTCCTGAAAACATGTTATCTTGTTGGTATTAATGCACTAGAAGATGCTAATGGTGCCTGTGGTAGGATAAGTTTTACAGTCTTCTGAGTTTGGGTTTTTTTTAATCCCTATGCTATAACTGACATAATGTCAGGGGGAAAAAAAGGCCTGAATATTAGCTCCATCTAAAATCTGCAAGTTTTAAAGGTTTTTTTTTAATAACAAGAGAAAAGAACAAGAGAGTTTGTATGGGAAAACGAGATTTATAAGAGAGAGGATTTATATAAATTGTGTATGTTAGTGTCTTTGCAGCTTCTGTTGGTGTTAGGAATTCGGGTAAGTCCACAGAGTGCAACAGGAGATTGAAGGGAGTGATTATCCAGCCCTACTCAGCACTTGCTGAACTGCATCTAGAACCCTGGGTCCAATTTTTGGCCTTCTGGTACAAGAGGGATCTTAGTTGATATGTGTGAGTTCAGCAGAGAGCTACCAAGCCAGTCATGGAGCAGGAACAGCAGCCCTGAGAGGAGAGGCTGAGGGAACTGAGCTTTGAGGCATTGTGCTTTCTGGTATATGGAAGACAGACAGTCCCAGTTTTGCCTGGATTTGACTCCAACAGTTTGTCATGGTTTAAGCCCAGATGGCAACCAGGCCCCACTTAGCCGCTCACTCACTCACTGCCCCACCAGTGGGATCAGGGAGAGAATCAGAAGCGTGTAAGTGAGGAAACTCGTGGGTTGAGATAAGGACAGTTTAATAGGGAAAGCAAAAGCCATGCACACAGGCAAAGCAAAACAAGGAATCCATTAATTGCTTCCCATGGGCAGGCAGGTGTTCAGCAATCCCCAGGAAAGCAGAGATCCATCACACATAACAGTGACTTGGGAAGACAAACACCATCACTCTGAATATCCCCCTGCTTCTTCCTTCTTCTGCCTGCTGTATACGCTTATGCCATAGGGTATGGGATATCCCTTGGGTCAGCTGTCCCAGCTGTGGTCCCTCCCAGCTTCTTGTGCACCCCCAGCCCGCTCACTGGTGGGGTGGTAGGAGAAGCAGAAAAGACCTTTATACTGTGCAAGTGTTGCTCAGCAATAATTAAACCATCTATATTATCATCACTTTTTCAGCACAGATCCAAAACACAGCCCCATACCAGCTACTGTGAAGAAAATTAACTCCACCCCAGCCAAAGCCAGCACATGGTTTTTCAAAATTCTCAAAAATTTATCGATTACAAATAAGTAATATTTTTGTTCTAAATAAATTATCAAAGCAATGTTAACTTTACAGTTATAAAAGCTGTATTTTTTCTTTTGTGAAATTACCCTAATAATTATATGTAAAACTTTCTCCTTGCTATACAAACCGCTGAAATACAAACATTGCTGTCAGTCTTCTGAATAATTTTTTTAATGGCTGTTGATACATGTTTTGCAGAATTTTTAAAGCAGATTTGCAATTGCCAGTCTTTCCTTGTGTTAATACTTTTTTTTCTTTGTTGACTATTGCAAGGGATATGAGAAAAACATCCTAAAATTAATTGTGAAACACAAAACTGCTCTTTTGTTTGGATACTGTGGACAGACCATGGACCATTTCTTCCCATGTTGGTGTTTGTTGCTGATTGTTTCAGTTCATAAAGAAGTTGATATTCCCTAAGGCTTTCAGTATGAATTACCTTCAAAATTAATTGCTGGTGTTTCTCCCAGATGTAGATCCATCAAGGTTTAAAACTACTTTTAATCTCATTAAATTTAAACCCTGTGCATTTCTAAATATATTTTTGAACACTGACCCCATTCTGGAGTAAATAGAAACTGCTTGCTCTTCCTGTGGTCAGCAGTTGTTTTAGACTGAGAACAGACTTGTTATAAAATTGTTGGGTTTGTCAGAGAGATAAGTAATGTGCTGCTTTATCAGCATTACTTGCAATCACTGAATCTGTAACATGCAGGCAATGCTCAGCATATTAAGAAAAGGTATATTAATCATATTAATCAAAATTTTATGATGCTTTGATCAGAAAAGACAACAAACTCCTCTTGAATGAAGTGTCTCTAATGTGAAGATGACTTCTTTAAAAATTACAGAAGTGTGCATACTACTGTATATTTACCTTACTTACTTACAAAGGAGAAAACACTCCATGGTTTATTTCCATATATTATCAAACTGATACCAAGGATGATGGAAAGAAGTTAGAATTCTTCAAAACATTAAAAATTATAGAAAAAATATAAAGTCTGGCAGTATTTAATATTTTTATGGTTTGTCTCTGCAAATTCATAATGTGGATTATCTACTTTTTGTATCAATTCTTTAGTTTCTCAACTATTCTGTTAAATTCCAGATTTACTTTGAAACAAGAAGAGGAAAAGAGGGTCAGAGTAGAAGCACTCTATGAGAAAACAAGAGAAAAACTCATAAGGCAAGAAGAGCAATATTGTAAAGAGGTGGAGGAGAAACAGCAACTTGAGTTACAATCAAGAAATTTAGAAATGGAGTTATTAACACTGAGAAAGCTCTTGAAACAGGTATATTAAATAATCTGTTATACACTTGTCTTCTTATTTCCTGCTTCTTTTTTATTGGTGTTGTGTTTCTGTATGCCTAAAGGAGGAGGTACTTAGTTCTTGGACAAGGCATTGGGTAACTGTTGCCAAATTTTAAGAACAGTTGGTTTCCAAGAAGTCTGTCTTTTTTTTTTTCTTGTTTGTATTTCAGGTAAAGCCAAACTTTGAGTTATTTTTCTAAATTCCTACAAAACTTTCTGTATTTCTTCTTAATTTTTCAGAAGAAAATGAAAATTTATAGGTGGGTTATTATAACTATGGGGAAGCAAAAATATTTGCAAGAATAAAATTGAAAATGGGAAGATATTTCTAGCTCTGATTTTTCTCAAGGTGCAAGTAGTTTAACTGTGTTACTGTAGGTTGAAGAAGAGCGTGATGAAACCCAGAGACAGCTCTCTCAGGAAAAGAGTGCCAGAGCCCTGCAAGAAGGCATTTTGAACAACCACCTTTGGAGACAAAAGGAACTAGAAGAAGAGACAAGAAGAACTATAGGAAAAAATTCAGATGTAAGCAGACTTTCCCCCTAATTAATTAAATTTCATCATGTTCGTTTTCAAGTCATAATCCTATATAAATTTTTCTGCTTTTTGATGAATTATTTACAGTTTACCAGTGTAACTTCACTGTATGAATACATCTTCCATTTTCCCTTATGTCTTTAAAAGTTCTGGAAAGCAGGATCAGTCCTGTGCACACTTTAATTGCATGTGGAAGTAGAAGACTACTAGAAAGCACTATTTACACCATTTTTAAACTGTCCTGTTTTTCATTTCCCAGACATTTTATCATCCCTTTTTAAGATTTCTAGCAGTGAAACACCTAGCTACTTACATTCAGGTTGACCAGGAAGAAAGTTGTTTGACATTCACTATGTGTTCCCATTATTTGTTTTTTGAATTACTTACTCCCTTATCAAACTTAGTTACTTTAAGTGTGCTCTTCCACCTCCCCATAATAAATTTTATGAAGGAAGATAAGCAATGAATGAAATTCTCTGTACTAGTTAGAATAATTGAAGGAGAAAAAGTGGTCCTGAACACTGTCTTAAAATCTGAATTTACTAAGAATGTGCAGTTCTTGGAAGATTTACGTGTTCTTGGCTATGCTGCCCAATTAATGTAGGGTGGATATGTTTATGTGGCAAAAAAGTTATGTAATAAACAGACAATATACAAGACTCTTGCATTCCAGGGATGATTTAGTTGTATAGCTAACTTTCAGTAATACTAAAGAAAAAGTGTTAAAAAGATACTGAAGGAAAACACCCTCTTTAGCCTTGTTTTTACCAGATTGGTAATATAGGTAAATTAACTTTAAAGGGAATATTTTAGAAGCATGAACACACATGTCATTTTAAAAACTTTATACCTGAAGGTATACCTGAGGTATTTTAAATAATTTTATTTAGTTGCTGATTTAAGCTAAAAAAAAGGCATTGTATATTTAGGGTGTTTATTTATGGGTATGTTACACTTCTCATTCTGTGCATGTGCATGGGTTCATAGAGTAGCTTATATATTTCCTGAAATTTTACTCTTATCTTTGAAGTCATGCTTCATTATTAGAAATGTTAAAATGCAGTTCAATGCTGAAGTGTTTCTGTAGATGTATTTCCCATCTGGCTATTTATTCATGTTCCCTGTCATTCAGGAATCTGACACTGAGAGAGAAAAGGATCTGTTGTACAAAAATCAGTTACTGCAAGATGAGATTGCTGTGCTAAGACTAGAACTTGATCAAATAAGACTTAGGCACCAGGAGGAAGAAGGAAAATATTTAGAGGAAAATGAGACCTTGAAAGAAAAAAATGAAGATCTCAAAAAGGAACTTAAACTCAATGAGGAAGCCTTAACACAAACAGTTTTTCAGTACAATGGACAGCTGAACTTACTAAAGACAGAATCTGCGATGCTAACTTCCAAACTTGAGCAAACAAAAGAAAGCAAAGACAGACTAGAGACAGAAATTGAATCATTTCGTTCCCGCCTGAACACCACTGTTCAAGAGCTTGAACGTCATCAGTCATCAAAAAGTGATGCCGAGCGAACGTTCCAGAGAGAACGTGATGAATGGCTTCGCTTGCAAGACAAGCTGCATCATGACCTCTCTGATGTGCGAGAAACCAACAAGAGCTTGTCTCAGCAGCTGAGTAAAGCTGAAAGCAAAGCTAATGGTCTAGAAAATGAACTTCACCAGTTGAAACAAATGCTCAGAGAAAAAATGATGCTTTTAGAAATGACACAAAAAGAATTAAGTCAAGCCCAGTGTCAGGCAAAGGAATATGATCATGCTCGACAACTTGAGAAAGATCAAGTAAGCAAACTTACAATAAAGCAGGAATCCATGCAGGAGCGATTGGCCCAGCTCCAGAGTGAAAACCTTTTGCTCCGTCAGCAACTGGAAGATGTGCAGAACAAGGGGATCATCAAAGAAAAAGTAGTGAATGATGTACAGGATCGGTTTAATGATATTTTCAACAAACTCAGAGCTGATACTGAAAAGCAAGTTTACCTAGTGGAAGAGAGAAATAAGGAATTAAATGCCAAGTGTACTGATTTAAGAGAACAAGTCTTCAAATATGAGACTGACAAAATAGAGAGAGAGGTAAAATTATTTTGTGTTTCTGAAGTGTACCAGTCATAAGCTGTATGCATGGGTCCAGATAATGCTGATTTGTTCTGGTTTGTTGTGTTTCTCTTGAAATTGTGGAAGGTTTTGGCAAATTGGGTTTTGAGCAGAGAACAGAAAAAAGGTATCCAAATCTAAGCTTTGCTCGAAAAACGTAATTCTTCTCTAGAACTTTTTTCATCTTTTCCTCAGTCCATTTTTTGTCCTATGGAACGGGTTTATGTACTTGGTGGGTTTTATAAGCATTGCACTCATGACACAAATAAGAGTGGTATAAAAGGAAGAACCATGCAGTATGTGAGGGTTGAGAAATGAAAATGCAAACAAGTGAATTGACGTGGAATGGATTTATATTAAGTTCCTACAGAGAAAAACCTCTTCTCTGTAGATAGCTATCAAAATTGAAAAGTATTATACTGTTCAGGTGTTAATTTATGTATGTTCTGAGGGTTCTAAGGGGTCTGGCTGGAGAATGTATTATTATATATGTTCCTAGGAGTAGGTGGAGTTTTTTTATTGATAGAGTATTCTACCAATTCCAGGTAGAGCAATGACTTAAAAATTGCCTTGCCCATTTTGTTTACTCTCCCTTACTTTCTGGAAAATAGGAACTGATCACATTCAGTATTTAGACACAGCTGTGTAAGGTTTGTCTCCCTTAATGAGTTGAATAGTGATTTAAAATTCCATTTCCTTCTTCCTAATAAATGTAGGATCTTTGAGTGAGGTTAATATCTGCATGTGTCATATAACAATATTTTTTTTCATTTGTCAGTTATTTTAAGGTGTGTGTGGGGAGAGAACTCCAGCAGTACTGTCCATAATTTTAATCAGTGAATTGCTTTGTATTCTTAGTACCAAAATAACAGGTTCTTTTTGAAGATACTATGTTTTGGTAAACCTACTATGTCAGTATAAAGGCAGTTGTTATTCTAAAATATACTCAGTAAGACAACTGTAAGAAGATGAGATACAATATAATGTATATCTCAAAAGAGCTTTCAGATATATGTATTAATTTAATTATATTTTTTAAAGGGAGGAATAGAACAAAGAATGATACGAAGTCCTGCTTTGGTCATCAGAATCGTATCTGCAGTCAAACTGTGGCTCTTGCATTACAACAGATTTCTTTGGATTATGTTAAAAAAATTCTCGATGGCAGTGTGTGCTTGTGCCTGGTTTCGAGAAGAATAGTACTTGAACTTTTTATATGTGTTAGGAAACATGAAGAGCTGATGACATCTTGGAGGTGCTCAAATGAGAAAGATGGAGCAGTAATTATCTGTGCACATGCCTGCTGGTGGCAGGCAACATTTCATACCTTTGAGTTCAATCCAAAGACAGGTCTAATTGAATAATCAAATAAGTCATAATAAAGGCATTTTTCATGTTCTTAATCAATTTATTCATGCTCATTTAACTGTTTCATTAGGGCATGGTCAGACAGCTGCAGCAGGAGCTTGCTGATGCTCTTAAAAAGCAATCTATGTCAGAAGCTTCACTTGAAGTTACTACACGCTATCGCAGTGACCTGGAGGAAGACAAGCTGCGCTTGCAAAAGGAATTGGAAAAGGTTAAAGCCAAGGTACACAATGTCTGTAATTATATTAATAAATCTGAGAGTGGCTATTGAAAGCAGGAGTGGATGTTTTCCTAAAAATCTAGGAAAAAGATCAACAGGATAGATTTCATGATATGTGACTCAATTGCACTGTTCTATAAACTTGGTGTCCATGTCTTTGACATGAGGACATTATGTCCTTACTTGAACAGAAATTTGTATTTGCTAAGGTGCTTTACACAATAAATTGATTTGTTTATAGCTTATAGTCACTATAGGAGAAGGATGAACTTTTTAATTCATGTTTTCACAGAGGAGCAAACAAGAGGGTACAAAGAGAATCCTAAGTCACTGAAAGGGCAGGGGCACAGTGTTGGTGCTTAGATCCGTGCTGTAGGAAATCAGTGGAGGGATGGAAGAAGCTGCTGTAAAGGAGGACAAAGGAATACAGCTTGTGTTCATTTGGTAGTAGAAGGGAAGCTTTGAAGGTACTTGAATTGATTCCAGTTCTTTGGGCAGAGGGTATGCACACACACATGCAGCACAGGAGTTCTTCGCCAGCAGCTGGCTCCTCCACGTAAAAGCTCCCCTGACAACTGTGGATTCTTACTGTGATTTTACAGCTGCGGGCAGAGGAAGAAAAGCATCTTCAATCTGAGCATTGTGTTCGTGACTTGAAGACTGCCTTGGATGATAAGGAAAGAGAAGCAATAACTTCTGCTCAGAAACTGCAGGACCTCCTCTTGGCATCTTCCGAGAGTAATGCGACTATAAAACAACTGGAAGAACACGTGCAACAGTAAGAGAGTAACACGGTGAAGCGAGGTGTCTGTCACTTTGGGGCATTGGGTGGAAACAACAGGATAGATAGCCCTGTTGCATCATAGCAAATTAATAAATGATTTTGAAGGATACTGTTCTTTTGAAATTGGTGCTCTTGTGGATGTTCATAGTAAGACCTGTATTTCTTTTTAAGCCTTGAAATTGAAAACACCAGATTGGAAGCCACTGTCCAGCAACAAAACAATAGGATTGAAGTCCTTCAAAGAGACCTACAATCCTCTGCCTCAGTAAGCTGGTCATACATTTCCCTTTTTGTGACTTCTCAGCCTAGTTACTATTTCTGTGGGGAAATTTTAAAATGAGGTTTTGCTAGAGAGCCTAAGGGAACTCAGATCCTGCATTCTCCTGAATAGGCTGCTTGGAAAGCAGCATGTGCCACTCCCCAGCTTCCTGGTTTTAAGTTTCCCATGATACTATAGCAAGTCAAACTTAACACTCCAAAAGTAATTTTCAAGTAATACACTGGTAACTATTGTCTGTTTTATAGCTATCATAACATCAGGTGCTGCTTCAGATACTTGTTGCAGTGTGTTTTATTTAAAGCATTCATCAAGTTGTGGAAATTCCACAGAATATATTGATGCCAAGGCCTTTGTGCCAGAGGCCTGACTGGCTTCATCAAACCGGAACAAAAATTATACTTCCCAGAGCTTTTTCTGTGCAGAATTGCTTTTCATTTGGTCACTTGCTCTGTGTGTGTTTTCATGAAACAGTAAAGGGGAATTCCTGTGGTACTTGCAGAACTGAGTGTGAGCCTTGGAATTTCCCACTGCTTCTACACAGTTGTTAATTTTAGCTCTGATAAAGTGCTTACATCTGTGACCTGTATGAAGCGATTTGGTTTTTTTTTAGTATTGTAACCAGTGAACTAGGGTTCTTGTTACAACTGTAGTTGTCAATTAGAGCTGAAGAATGTTTGAGAAACACTACATGTGAAAGTTGAACTTTTTGATGTACTGATACTGACAAGAGAAGTAGGAAGTCATTTAAAATGCTCATCCTGTATGGGGGATGAGAAAAGCTACTCCTTGCCATTTTCACTGAAGATCCTTAATATCCCCCATGGTCTTGTCTCTCTCTCCCTGCTACAAGCAGCAGAGGTGATGGTTGCTGACAGTATGACAGTGGCATCAGACTAAGACCATTTTGATCATTGGTACTGAGTGTAAATAGTGTAGGAATAAAGAAGTGAAGACGTTTATGTCATATTTGTTTTTAGTAGTGAGGTGTAAACTTCAATCTAGAAAGTCACAGTGTGGCTTCTTGCTTCCTGTAATGCTTCTGTAGGTTCACAACCGCCTGGAAGACTTGATAACTAGCTTACGGACATCACAGGCAGCTGCAGAGGACCACCATAAGCAGGTAGATGACTGGCTTCTCTGAATGACTGTTCTGGTCGTTGAATTTTTGTGTGTAGGTAATTGATGAAAAGATTGGGTGGGCTGTGTAGGCACACAGCTGTCAAATACATGTCTGGTTTTAGGGCAAGGTACCCTCAAGGGAAAAGACTGTAAATTTCCTTGTTTCCCTGCTGATGTGTTTTGCATCTGTGTTGCTGTGTGCAAGATACTTTTGTTCATCAGCACGATTCATGTGATGAATTCTCTTCCCCATCCCACCTGCAGGGAGTGAGCAAGTGGCTGTGTGATGCTTAGCTATCTACTGGGGCTAAACCATAGGAGATGATGGAGAGGGTGGATGTTGTGGACAATGGGGAGATCGTGGTTGAAAGCTGAGAGGAGACTGGACTTGGGAGATGCACAATATATTTGCAGCTTTGTTAGAGCTTGCCTTGAGGCCGTGTTAGTTTCTGTCACAAGACCCAGTGTTTCACCTTGTCTGTATGGACACTCATACATCCTAACAATTATTTTATCTAAGACTTTGTGCTGAGGTTTTTGTGACTTTGTGTAGCCACTAGTAGACATCTCCTGGTTTCTTCTTTTTTTTCCTTTTTTTTTTTCCTTTAAAAAATGCCACTAAAGGCATCTAGTCATCTTCTGGTCTTTGTACTTGAACTGAATCAGCAAGTTCTGTTCAACTCAAGTGCATCTGTTAGGCAAATCTTTGTCCCTTTAGGCAGAACCAGTTTCCATTTAAGTTGCTGCTTTCTATTGAAGTGTTTTCTTTTCAGTCACCTTAGTTTCTTCTTCTGCCACTGTTGCGTTAACAGGTGCAAAAGCAGAATGCACTGGCTCTGACATCAAAGGATTTGCAGAGCATGTGGGAAGAGCAGTTTAAGTCAAGATCCAACCTCGAGGAGCGTGTTGCTCAGCTTGACAGGGAAAAGGCAGAGCTCTTTGAACAGGTAAGTCCAGAAAATTCTCCAGAGACCTAGCCAGTACCTTGGAGAAGCATGTTAACCTTTCTGTTGAGTTCTGACATAAGCAGATTTTTTTATTGTCCCTCCCATTCATGCTCTGAGTATCTTGTGATTTGGGGATCCAGGAAGCAAATAAAAGCTAACTGGGTATTTTTGTGTAAATTTTGTGGTGGTTCTGTTGGAAGAGTTCCCAGTATGGTTTGCTATTAGTTGAGCACGTTGAGTAGGCCTGCAATTCCCCAGTTTTTCTTGGATTCCTTCTGGTCACCTTCAGACCCCTTGGTTTCTGGGCTGGGTTGAAATGCTTCATTTTTCCAGTGTAATGCATGAAGGAACAGCAGCATGTTTTCAGGTTAGTGGGTGCTTAAAAGCCTTGCAGAAAAATATTCTGAAGGGATTCTGGGCAAATGAGCTAGTGCTTGGGAAAAAAAAAAAAGGCTGACAGTTTCAAAGGTGCAGTCTTTTCCTTTTTTCCTTTTCTGTAGAGGAATAATGGAAGTACAAAGCAGCAAGTACACACGTAAATACCCTCAAAGTAGAGATGGAGGTAACCACAGAGGGGAATAAAACATTGAAGAATAGCAAGAGATCAAATTTTTCTGCTTTCTTGCCATTAAAGATCCCCTGAAAGCCTTAGATTGATCTGTATTCTCCCATGATGAGCATACGTACCTACATAATCCCTGCTATGAGTAGAGAACTGTCCAAAGTATTCTCTAGCAGCTTTTCCACATTTTTCCTTGAAAGAGAAGAAGGTATGCTTTGCTTCAGTGAAGACATTTGTTTTTGTTGTTCAGTAACAGCCTGTTTGATGTGAAACCTAAAGTGCTTAACTGTTCTCAGGAATTCTGTCCCGTGGCATTCTGTGGAACTTGACAAAGAAGGAGAGGTACTGCATCTTCTCTGTGGAGAGTGCTAGAGGCATATATTGCACCTAGATATTGCTTTTATGCTCTGTGTGTGTCATGTATCTTTTCTATTTTGAAAGTGTGAGAGTGAAAGAAAGAAAGTGAAGAAACTGGTCGAGTTGAAACGCCCAGTCGAACTGCGTCTGGACCAAGAAATGAAAAGAAACTTAGAACTGCAGAAAGACTTTAAGAGGTATGGCTTTTTGATATGATGAAGAGGTATCCCAGAGCAGAAATCCAGTTTTATAGAACTTTATTGTAAAAATAGATGTACATAATTCTGTGGGCAAATTCAAGCCTCGTGTTAGTTCCTGCAAGGCACTTCTTTGTGTAAGCCTATAGTTTTCTATACCTGCCAGAGGAATTGCCAATGCAGGTTGCTCTGGAGTTCTCCTGGGGAGAAGGTCTTTTATTCCTCTTTTCAGCTGAATTTTGGATACTTCAGGTAATTTATGGGGAATAATGGTCTTTCTCAGCAATTCCTGGAGATGTCAAGCATGTTAAAGATGAAGAAAGCCATGTCTGCACTGATTACATGAGAGTATATGGAAAAGGCTATTTATTCCTATGTTTCATTGTTTTCTTAACTAATTTGCTATGCAGGTTGAAGAGACTTCTGAGTAGAGCTACAAAGAAACTACGGGTGTTTGAAGAAAGAGAAATGGAGTCCCAGCTTAATTTGCAGGGAGAAATGAAGAACAGATATTCTGAAATGGTCAGTGAAGTTGGTAGATTAAGACCAAAGGTGAGTTCTACCTGGTTTGTTTTTTTTTTTTTGGTTATGGTGTTACTTCTTTTGAAACCTTGGGGATACTTTCCCTATATTTCTTGTCATGTTGATGATTTTTATTTTCCTTGGCTGCATTTTGGATTTGATGGGCTTTTCTTAATTCTCCATCTGCTCTTCCAGTAGCAGAGGACTATAACTAATACTGAGGTAGTTATCAGTCTGGGTAAAGATGTAAAAGTTCAGGGCAAAGCAGCAGGTGCAAGGGCTCAGGCAGGCCAGGCTGTGCTGCACAGGAAAGACAAGCCAAGAGTTGGCAACCAGCCTGGCAGGGGGTGTGACCTCACAGGCCAGGGAGCCGTCCCACAGGCCCTCGGCAAGAAGAGCACAACAGGTCTGCTGACAGTAAGCGGGCTCAGCCAAGAGTGCAGATCCCCCGGCTGGGCCTTAGGGATGGGCAGGTCTGCCATCCTAGCAGGACCTCACGTCCACAGGCTGAGAGCAGTGGGGCCCAGCTCAGGCCTGGCTGCAGCTTGAGGGAGGCTGTGACAGCATCATCTGGGTCTGACAGATGAATTCCTTCCCTAGAAGAGAGGGGAGGAACACCGCTGTCACTCGCAGGGCGCGATCAGCCCCTGAAGCCTGTCTCAGGCACGAGCTCAGCAGGAGGCACTTGACGTTTTGCTTTTCTCAACAGTGTTGTTGCTGCCCAGGGCACAGTGAGGAGAGGTGCCTGACAGGGAAAAGTCTCTAACTTATTGCTCACGGGAAGTGCTTTCAGCCCATCTTGGGGCGGGGACCCAGAAGGACTTTTCCCAGCAGTGCTTTTGAGGCTGCTCTGCCTGTTCCGCAGTGGCACGTAACCTTTAATCAACTTCTCTGCTGGTTACTCCCATTCGTTGCCAAAGCGGCCGTGTTTCACACTTACACTTGGCTTTGGAAGGCATCACTGTAGAATCACTTTCTGCCTTTGCAGTGACTCTATTTTAGTCCAGAAGAGCTGAGAAAGGATGGGAACCTTAGGAATCCTATCTCAAATGATGTCAAAGCTGTTCTGGTTGGAAAAGAAGAGCCTGGTTACACTTACTTTCTAGTACTGAGCCAGCAGTTCAAATGGCCACCCCCGTGAGAGATTTTCACAAAATTCACTGCCTTTAAATCACTCTAAGTTTCTTTTTTATTTTTTTTCTTCTTCTGTGTACAGGTCGATGAACTTTCCCAGCAGCTGGACATGAAATCTAAAAAATGCATGCAGCTGGAAGCCAAAAATCAGGATTTGCAAGAAGAGTTGTCTACCCTGCGTGGGAAGTGTGAAAACCTGGAGAAGAGCAAATGCCAGCTGAAAGAAGAGGTGGCAAAACTTCAACATCATTCAGACACTAACATGGTGGATCGTAGCCAAATAGAACAGTATAAAAGAGAGGTGGAAGAACGAGCTGGACAAGAAATAAGACAAAAGCTACAAGAAGTCAATCTATTTTTGCAAGTAAGTGAATTTCTCATGATAGACTGTTTTTATGGTCATCAGTTATTAGTGGTTTACTTTTGATGCCTTACTCTATGTGATAGCGCTGTACTTCTGTGTTTCCTGAAGGCAGTGGGAGAAGGGAATATGGTTGGGCAGGAGTGCTGTCACAGGTGTGTAATGTGCTGGCAGGTCCCTGAATCAAAAGCCTGCCCAAAGCAGATTCCCAGTTTGCAGTCCTTGGGGAGTAGCTCTGTCCACTGGTCTGGTTCTCGCTGCTCATCGTGGAATGGGTTTTGCAACTTCCAGCTGTCATGGCCAGACACAGGAGTGCTGCTTTGTCCTTGTAGGGGGGAAAGTGCTCAGGCAATAAGTCACTAAAGTTGTGGAGGTGGGGGGTCCTCTAATTGTCTTTGAGGATTTATTTTCCATATGACCTGTTCTACAGAGAGAGTGTCCTTTCATTAGTAGCTTTGCATAATAGTGCTAATTTTGACTGCTTTCTGAAAAAAACCTGTTATTTACCTTGGTAGCTCTAGGATTCTGCTTTCATTGCTGCTGGGTAGTGAGGAGGCACTGCCACCTCTCTGAGTAAAACAATTTTCCACTGGGGAGAGCTCTCCTTTCCTTGCAGTGATTAAAAGTGCACTGTCTCCTTCAGGCACAGGCAGCCTCCCAGGACAGATTAGAACAAATCAGAGCCAGTCATCATGCTTCACTGAGAAACCAGCTAAAAGACAGAATTAGAGATCTTGAATGTGAACTGGACAGGATAAAAAATACCCAACAAGACAGTACTTTTCAAAAAGAATCTGTGCAGGCAGAAGTGGAAAAGTACAAAGAGCTGTATCTGGAGGAAGTGAAAACCAAAAAAAGCCTAGCAAAGAAACTGGAAAGGTAAGTCCTTGCCTTTTTGGAGTGGTAATAACAGACTTGTGCATTTTCCTTCTAAAATCCCTTTTCTACATCTGGCCAGCATGATGGGTCAAAGCATAACAGGGCATATTTGTGAGGAAAGTGCCCCAAGACCCTTCCCTTCGTCAGACCTGTCTTCCTTTCTCTTTAGAGTGCCAGCAGTAACACCACAGTAGCTCCACGACGGCATTATTGGTGTCTTTTTCAGGCTGATGTTGTTTTAACAGGCAGTCTTTCTGCCAGTGTCTCACTCTGCTTGTCTGCTTGTTTTCCCTGTGACACAAAGGATGAATCTTGTGCCCTTTCCTGTTTGAATATGGAGAGGCCTCTGGGAGAACAGAGCGGGATTCGGCGAATCAAAAATGAGAATGATCTTTCTTGGCTTCTGTTTTAGCAGCTGGCCTGAGGTTTGAGTTGCCCTTGAGAAGGCCAGGGTAGCCCAGAGTTCTTTCTTATGAGGGTGACGCTCCTTGCACTTAGTGGGATTTCTTAGGCACAGGCCCTCTGAACAAGCTCAGATCAAAGGATGCGCTTGTTTTGGACGCTCTTAATCCCCTTGCCTTTTAGAAGTCAAGTAAGAGTGAAAGGACGTGGAGGGGAACTTTGCAAAAGCGTTACTGCCAAAGATGACTCTTTGTGCTCTTCTGAATGTTTCAGAGCTAATGAGAGACTTGCAGAGGCCAACACTAAGCTCCTTCGGGAGCGCCATAGAAGCAAATCTTTAATCACAAGCAGCATTGTCAGTGGACATCTGGCTGCAAGTCCAGTACTGTATTCAACTGGTCTGGGACATCTTGGCAACAGTTTGGGACTGAACAGAAGTCTCAGTCTTGGAGGAAACTTCCTAAGCCCAACAGAAAACACACTATCATCAAGAAACAGGGTTGAAGCGTATGTGGCCAAGGTAAGCATTTTGAAATACTGTTCTTGACTACTGCTTAGGAGAGTCTGTATGCAAGGTTATCCTTTTTAGCCTAAAGTTTGAATCCATTTATTGTTCCATGCAATACTCTCTAATATGCCAGAGCAACTGCTAATCCTCAGAACAGTACACAGCTGTATGTGGTAAGCCTGAAGACTTTTGGTCATCAGGTTTGTACAAATTTTCCAGAGTGGTCAAAGGCCAAAAAATATTGAAATCAAAGCAATGAGCTATGTAACTACATTCTTTTACAAGCAACTGTGGTAAAGAGCACTTGTGGCGCAGGAGCCTCCCATGTAAGTTCTATACTAAATTTACATGTGTGGCATGTGTGGCCTGTTTCAAATGGCTAATGCCATGAGGGGTGGCAAATGCCACCAGACATCTGGGAGACACCTTTTTCTTCATCACTGATCTTTGTTCTAACAGTTTCTTCACTACACCTTGCTTTAGTATGTTACTATGGGTAGGAGGCATTTGTTCCTGGAGTTCCTGCTGTCTTACTACATGAAACTATTTACCTACTGCTTGGGAAGTCTTCAGGGCCTTCTAATTTTGCAGCAACGCTGCAACCTCTGCAACACCACTGGTCCAAGCATGCCCTGTCATCAGCAGTCAGTGTGATGGTAGCACATCCCTCAGAGAATGCAGAGCATTATACCCGGAGGCGTGGAAACCACACACCAGTAGTTGGGATCAGTGGGACAGCCACGGAGCATGGCATTGAGGCGTGGCCAAGCTTCTCTCTTGAGTTAGTCTGTTTTCTTGTTGGGTGAATGTGAGAAGCAGTTGTTCACTTTGAAGTCCATCTCAGTTCACTGGTCCCCCCAGCTGCATTGGAGAGAACCCATTTCAACAAGGTGTCTACATGCGGCACCTGCTTGAAGACAAAAAAGCCCAGAAGGTGAAAAGGGGCCAAGCAGCGTAGGTAATGTGTAGCAGTGGCACTTACAGAGAGGAACTTTTCTGTACCACTCTGAGGACATTTTTGAGGGCAGAGACTTGGACAGGCATTACAGGAAGAACTCGTGAGGTAATCAGTGCTGTACCATCTGCAGGGACTATTCTGCAGGCAAGCACTAGAAAGGAAACAAACTTCAGGGACCCAATGCAAAAGGGAGAAAAAGAGAAGACCAGGAGGGGCAGAGAGCATGCAACAAGTGAGGGAAAGAAAGGACAGAGAGATGGGAGCAAGATGTTGAAAGAAGGAAAAGGCAGAAGGAGGAAACCATTCCTGTTCTAGGAGAAAAGCTGCCCTAGTTTTAAAGAAAAGGGTTGACAGCTGTGTCTTTTTTGAAAAAGAACAGGGAAAACAGACAGTGAAGGGAAGGACAGTGGGAGTACCCAGTGCTTCCTAAAACTGAATTACAGCAACAGTCTTCAGGTAGTCCTTTCCATTTTGATGTTCCAGAAGAAAACTCTGGGCATCTCAGAGTTTTGTCAGTAGCAAGACAGATACCTTCATTGCTTTCCTGGCTTCCCTGAAGGATGTTAGAGAAATTAAGTATTTCTGCAGGTTATTTCATGGCTCATTGTTTTATCCTGTTGCTCATCTGTGCAGATATGTAGTTCAAAGCGCTATGTAAGCAGCTTCAATGCTTTGCAACAAATGCTTCCCAGATCTACTTGTGGAAAACAGTTGAGCTGATTCCAAGAAAAGAATGCATTAGAGCTGAGAATGGCAAGACTCTTCTCACTCAGCATCCAGACTTCAACAGCACCCATACAGTTTCTTGTCAGGCCATGTGTGCCTCACGGCCTTGAGCGTACTCTCAAGGAAGCTGATGAGCAACTATGTATGACATTTCCCCACTTTTCCATTATTGGTGTCTGGAGGGGCTTTGTTTCTTAGTTTGGGGACTTTCTTCGATCCCAACCTGACCTTCCCTTTCTGGGTTGTAAATAGAAGGAACCATTAGTGGTCTGTGTACCAGAACATGGGAACTGCAGCCTTAGTCCATAGCCTAAGGCAAGGAATGCCTGCTGCAAGTGTTGCAAGAAGATTTTGGACCGGAGGCCTGTTGTTACTTTTAAGAACTGTCAAGCTTAAATCCTAATAGCTGTGCCAAAGGCTGGGGAAAATGAATGTGGTTGTCTTGACACAGAGAAGAATAGTGAACTCTGCTGGCTGCAGCCAGTGTGAGTTGGTGGATTAATGAAACCAGTTTCCCTACATAACATGAGAAAGGGAATGTCTGCTTCCTATTCTCTCTCTCAATTTCTATTCCTTTTTTAGTTCCATTTTCCACCTGCCCTCTTGTGTTTTAGTGGTCCTCGTATTGCTAACTTTTTTGCTTGCCTTGTGTACCTGTAGGCCGTGTTTCTTATTTCTCACTGAAGACCTTTGAACTTCAAGCTCCTTAATCAAAATCTTCTCTCTCTTCTCTTTGCAGCCAGATACGTGACAAGGTTTGTAGCCAGTACTGTTTAACCTTGGGTGGTACTGGAAATGTTTTGTCTATTTATGCTGTTAGGTTCTGATTAAAACTTACTGATGCATTCACCCTTTGCCTAAAACTGGAAACATTTTGAACTTGTTAGTTTCTCTGAGAGAGTGACTGCTGCCAAGTACTTTTGTGCTTTCTGTATTTGTAATGTTATGGCCTCTGTGGTAGTTCACCCTCTGTAAGATGACACTGGATGCATGGATTTCATCTGTTATAATGGAACTTCTTTAAACTAGGGGAGTAGGCTCTTTACCCTCCTTGCCTCTTCTGCTATTCAGAAAGTTCTGGATAGTACCAGCAGTTATGTCTGGAGTACCAGTACTGCTCTGAAGTTGAGTTCCTAGACTCTGAATACCATCTCATGGAATCTCACAGGATCCAACCTACTCTGTGCTCAAGAAGCTCCTGTGGGTAAGTAGTAAGTCAGCACTGCTTCCTGAAGCAGAATTATTGAGATGGTGACTGCTGCAAGGGAACCCAGTATGGTACTGCCTGAAGAGCTGTGCACTGAGAAGTGCCTGCTCAAGAGGTTTGGGCTGATCAGCTGTGATGCCTTCTTCAGAGGAGCAGGAGAACAGTGGAGACACATTATAGTCCTCAAGTTGTATTTTCATTCAAAGGCCTCCTTACTCCCTTTTCAGAAATCCGTGTGTTGGCTTTACTTCCACCCATTTCTGTTTCCTCAGGTGGGGATGAGAAGTACAGAAAGGTTAATGGAATATATGAGTCAAAGAAGTGCTTTGTCTTCTCTTGATTCATCCACACATGTTGCAGAGGGTCCTGTGGACCTTCTGGTCATTCTGAGGGATTCATAAACCAGGGTTTTACTCTTCCAGTACTAGTGCTTTACTGGATTAGTCCTGGGTTTAGGTTGTCTTTCGGTCTAGGCATTAGTTTTCCTGCTTTTTTCTGTTGCCTGTGTCTCATTTCTTGTGCTGGGCAGGAGTGTCTTTTACCTAGGATTTTGCTGTTGCTTGAAGCTGCTTGAGAAAAATTAGAGGTTTGGGGATTTGAGGGGGGAGGGATTTTTCCACTGTTCTTTCAACTCTGTGCTCTCCTCTTCTATCTGTGAAGGCAAAGGCTATTTCAGTGAAGTTGCACTGGGTGGTGGTTCTCCTGTAGGAGAACCAAATGAACAACAACAACAACAAAATCCTTGTGTTAAAATGAAAGTTCTTCTATTTTGATTTTTCCCATCCCTCTTCTTCTTTTACTTGGTGCCACCAAGGAGAGTTTGGCTCCATCTTCTTTACTCCCCCCACCAGGTTGTTACTACACCCAGAGAACGTCCCCCCGAGCTTTTCGCCACTCCAGTAAAGAAGCAGTTACAGCTCTCTCTGCCTCTCAGCATTGCTGAAGGCCATGGACCACATGAGCTTCTTCATGGCCAGTGTAGGCCTGGAAGCTGTGTGTTATCTATTTTAGAATTCACTTCTATGTGTCACAAACTTGACAGAAACAATGTAGGAGTCACAAGTATCATCAAATGTGAACAGCAGCATAGAGAGCCTGGTCGATGACTCTTCCAAAGATCTGATTTCTCCTTAGGAAGACTTTGAAATCAGAGTCATTAGTGAGAATAACTTAGTAATCCCCTAGAATAACCACCTTCTAGGGGAGAAGGATTTAGTGCTCCTCTAGTGATCCGGGCTGACTTTGGTTGCATAATAAAACCCGCTTGCTGTGAGGAGGCTCTAGCTGTTGGTTTTTTTTCTTAATAGAGATTTTGCAAGAAAAACTGGTGTCTCTATATTTTTATATATGGCTGTCATGGTATTTGCAATAACAATATAGTAAAGTCTTGGCCTGACCTGCAGGAGCTCTTTCCATTTTCCGTCTTAAGATGGAGAAAAGAAGAATACTGGCAACATGCTTTTTCCTATACACGGATACATGTCGATCCTGCAGCAGCTGCTGTTGCATCTCTTCCTTTGGAAGCTGCAGAAGCCAGCCTCAACTGAAATGCTCCCTGTGGATGGTACTTGTGCATATCAGCATTTAGCTGACAGTCTGCACGTGTATTGGCTGATCAGCTTTACCCATACCCTCAGTGCAATCCCCACTGTGCTTTCTTGATATTTTTCAGTTGCCCAGTTATAATCCAGGTGGTGAGTTACAGCTTGTTTTGCACTACCATTACTGTTCATTGCTCAGCAATGAGAATTCTACAGCCTGGCTGACCAAGAGGTTTCTTCACTAAAAATCAACCTCCCAACCAAGATGTCTCTATTTGGAATGATATTTTTAGGTTTTATCACATTATCTGTGGAGTTTAAGAATATTTTAGGAGTTCTAACGGTCACATTTTGGTAATATTGCCCAAACTCTGTATTAAGTGTAAATCTTAACTCTATGTTCTGTATAATTCTAGGTACGACAGGAACTGGATGAAAAAATCACTAGAGAACTTCAACAAGGTAATGTGTCATTATGTTAGGAGCATTTTTAAGGAAAACAGTGACTATTCTAAGACTATTTCTAACTCTTGACAGCTCTCAAGCCATTTTTTCCAAGTTCCTGTGCTAAGCAGAGGGGTTTTTTCTGCCAGCCTTCCAGCTGCGATTTGAATGGCAAAACCTCCTGCTTACCAAAAAGTTGCCTACAATGTTGTGCAGTTGCCTGGAAAAAATCAAGCACAAAGAAACACTCGGCTTAAGCTGAAGTTGCCCTTCACTAGCGTTGATCTCAAGCCAAAGATCAAAGCAGCCTCGAGATAAGATTTTTATAAGCCTCAGCCATCACTTCCCCTCCCACGTACACCGTGGCCTTCAGCACTAAACCGTACCATACCCCTTCTTTGCTGTTAGTTCTTGAGTTTTGCTGTGATTCTGGGATTCAGATGGCTTCAGGGAGCTTAGATGGTGCCATCTTTTCTCGAATAAACAAGAAGATCAGGGACAAAAGATAATCTGCCTTTAGGAAAAGATTATTCGGTGCTGTTTTGGCAAACATCAGTTCAGTGCTTGCCATACGTCGCATAAAACATGCCGTAGAACTTGAGGCCAGGTGTCCAAAGAGGAAATCCCCTGTTCCATGGTAATTTCTTCCTCCCCAGCTACTGCTTTGCAGTGCCCGGTGCTGTGTAGTAGTTTCGTGCCAATAAGTCACTGCTTTGAACAGATAAGGAAAGCAAAGACTTCAGGTTGAAGAGCTCTCCAGGGGGTTAAGTTTAGCACGGGAGTCCTTTGTGCGTTCCCTGAAGATGTTGGGTGTGTAGCCTCCGGAGCGTCTTCCACTTGCTTTAGAAATGCTGTCGATGGATAAGCAAATGGGGAAAACATGGGTTTCTTCCTTTGTACCCAGCCCTTCCATTGTTTTGTTCCCTTGGCAATTTTAAAGTCTCTGTCTGGATTGCAGTCTCTCATGTTGCCTGTCCTGTCCTTGCCGTGCCTTCTTTTGCCCTGTCTGCTGTAAAAGTAACACCAGGAATCTTGTGTCTTTTCTTTCCAGCTACTGCTGAACTTGAAAGGGAATCTGCTGCATCTTCAAAACATCTTCATGGGGACCAGGATCCCCTTTGCAGAGCAATAGAGGAGTACCGTGATGTTTTAACCAAAAATTACCTGATTTGAATGAAATACTACTAAAGACTCTAGAAATCATTTGGTTTTCATAGTGCATCTCTGGTTTCCCATCCCCTGGTTCAGATGTGAAAACATTTTTCTTGCATTTTTCTTACATATCTGAATGTAAACTCACAAACTCTTTTAGATGGATGTCAAGCACATTGCGCTTACCTGTTGGTTTATTGATGCATTGCTGGTTTCTTTTGCACTCAAAATAAGAACCACATCCATTTTTTTCTGACTAGCAGATTGACTGATCTTGACTCTTGAGCTTGACAAAATCATCAAATTTCTTAGTATGGTCAATGCATTAGCATTTTCTTTGTTATGTTAAATCCTTTCAGTCAATGTGTTTGGAATGTTTCCAGTGTTATTTTAATGTTTAGGACATTATGTGATGTGCTTTTACACTGCTGCTTCAGTTCTGATGCAGTGACTATTTCTACTGATAAAGTTTTACACATGTTCAAGCTGTAGAAAAGGGCACTTTACATTGTCGTCACTTTATGTGATGTAGGTTTCAAATGGCTGAGTGTGTAGTAGTACCAAGAGTTGTTATATGGTTCTTTCTTATCACAGAATCACAGAATGGGTGAGTTTGGAAGGGACATCTGCAGGTCATCAGGTCCAGTTCCCCTGCTGAAGGAGGAGCACCTAGAGGCAGTTGCCCACATCTGAGTTGGCTTTTGAATACCTCCAAGGAGGGAGACTCCAAAGAGTCCATGGGCAGCCTGTGATAGTGCTCAGTCACGCACACAGTACACTTGAACACCGTGAGAGGCAATTGGGCACAAACTCAGTACCTTTTCACAGTATTGGTGTTGATTTCTGTTTTAAAAATCGCTGCAGCTTCAGACCTTTGCAGCTCTTGCATCAAACTTGTGGTGCACCTGAAGCATTTTTAATTGGAGGGGAAAAAAATTATGTTAATGCATCACCTTTAAGTTTCCTCAGTACTCTCCAGAACTTCTGTGATCAGATAGCCAGTCTTTTTATTGCTGCTAACAGCTGATGATACGGTGTCTGTAGCCCCGCTGTTAGCCCAGATGCAGTGGGACGTTGTGGCAACCATACAAGCAGCTTTACTTATTTCAGGGAACTACTAGTTGTTAATGAAGATCTGAGTTGTCATTTCCCATCCTGAAAAGTCACCAGCAATCAGAAGAGTATAGAACAAAGTCCCAGTTCTGGAAAAGTAAGAATTATTGTACTGAGATGAAGAAGACTGGAAAAACTTGGGGGGGTTACTGGCTAATTGAAGGATTTAAGAGTCACGGAGGAAAGCATTAAATGCTGCTGTGACACTCTTCCTTTTTATATGAATACATTTTTGTGAAGGTAATACACTGTATATAATTCAACTTGATATTTAATAAACTTTGTAATCTAGGACATGTCTTTGTTTTATTGTTTCCCTTCTTAATATTGCTTTTACACCCCTTCTTTGCCCATAGAACCCTCCAGAGCTCTCTTCTACTCCCTGCAGCTCTGCTCACAGCTGCACCTTCAGCCTGTCCCAGAGGACAGGCAAATGTGTCCCTTTCCTCCATGGAGGCTTGAAGCACAGTCGGGTTAAGATCATGGCCTACAGGTGAGCTATTGCTACGAAGCAGTTGCCAGACTCTTGCAGTGCTTTAGGGCCATCCTCTTTGTGGTCTGGGCAGAAGGCAGTGAGTGAGCTTCTGGTAGCCATAAAACACAGCCAGATCCCCAATCCTGCAGGAAGCGGACCGGTTTGTAGCCCACAAAGGAAAAGGGGAATTTCTTCAGCCTGCCTGCAGTACATTGTAGCATCTCTCCCCCAAGAAAGCTGGTGCAGAACCTCTGGGCCTTCACTTTGTGTTGTCCTTGGACCAAACTGGGACAAGATGTGTTTGGAAGTTTCTTCCTGCCCTGCTGTGTGCTGCCGCTTGGCTGGTGGGGCAGCAGAGCAGAAATTCACTCTTGGCATCTGGCAAAGCAGCAGGTGACAGTAGTTACCATAGGGTGGGGTGGGGTGGGGCTAAAGAGAAATCCATTCCTTCACTTGAAAATCCATCTCCAGTGTCACAGTGAGGACACTTGATGATCTCAGAGAGGTCAGGGCAGGAAAGCTCCTGAGGCCTGGAAGCCAGGAAATACCTGTCTCGGCTTCAGGAAGGCAAGACAGAGTTGCTGGGGAGGTACAGGCCAGTCAGCCTTATCTCACTGCATGGGGACAAAATGGTGATGGGGAGGAGTTGGCATGGGTTTGTAAAGGGGAAAATGCCAATTTGGTAGCCTTCTACCATTATGTGTGTAATTCCATGGACAGAGAGAGAGCAGTGTGTGTTTCTTTCCTTTAGCAAGGCTTTCTCTGGCTTGCACCATAACAGTCAAGTTTAGATTTTGGGACTTCCTGATCTCCTTCCAAAGAGAAAGCAACCATGTCTCCCAATTTCCTTCCTTGCTAAGGTATGTTAGAAACCCTTTCAGGTCAGTACTGTGGGAGGATTACTAGATTTTGTAATTTGATTGTACAGAATGTACAATTCTGTTTTAGAAAATTTCATTATACCAGTTGTTTTTTAACTTAAGAGCAAATGATGTAATAAGTAATCTGGGTTTTCCTGTCTTCAGAATGTTGCACTGAATTGTGGCCACAAAACATGATTAGTTTTTCATTGTTCTAGCCAGAGTAGTATCACGAACAATTGATTAAAAGGCTCTTTGAGTAGTGCTACTGTAGCCCTTGCATGTCTACCTGGTGAGCCTTGACCTCTGAAATATCCAGAGATCTGCTTATAATTGATTGCTGACCTCTGCAGCTCTAATTGCATCATTGATGCTTTGCAGAGGAAATACAACTCTGGTGTCCTGTCAGCAAACTGCCCGACTTTGTCCTGTTTTCATCTTCCCATTATCTTCAAGGCATCTCTCACCACCCTTATCTGGATATAGAGATAATAATCTAATTAATAATCTGTTAATAAAACCAAACAAGCTACCAAATCTATTTGCCCAGAAAAGCCAATAGTAAATGTTTCTTTACTGCTGGTTTTTGGTGAGCCAGCCCATCAAAGGAGGGGATTGCCCTGCTCTGCTCTGCACTGGTGCAGCCTCACCTTGAATATTGTGTGCAGTTTTGGGCACCACAATATAAGAAAATATTAAGCCATTAGAGGGTGTCCAAAGGAGGGCAGTGAAGATGGTGAAGGGCTTGGAGGGGGAACTGTATGAGGAGCAGCTGAGGTGACTTGGTATGTTCAGCCTGGAGAAGGGGAGACTGAAGGGAGACTTTACTGAGGTCTTCAGCATCCTCATGAGGAAGCACAGGGGTAGGTACTGATCTCTTCACTCTTGTAACCAGTGATAGGATTCAAGGAAATGACACAAAGCTGAGTCAGGGGACATTTAGGTTGGATATTAGGAAAAGGTTTCTCACCCAGAGGGTAGTTGGGCACTGGAACAGGCTCCCTGTGGGGAAGTGGTCACAGCACTCAGCCTGACAGAGTTCAAGAAGTGTCTGGACAACACTCTCAGGCACATGGTGTGATTCTTGGGGTGTCATGTGAAGGGCCAAAAGTACTTGATGTTCCTCATGGGTCCCTTCCAATTCAGTATATTCTCTATGATTTATTGACTGCTGGACAAAGCAAACCGAAAGCCAGTGTTAACATATAGTGTAACAATAAAGGAAAGTCTAGTCAATTCATTAACTCCAAAAATGTTATGTTTGTTTTCTTGTTCAGTAATGAAAAACTTATTTTTAAGAATGTGTGGCTGATTCTTGGTGCTCAGTGAAAATGGCTGCTACCACACTACATGACCATACATGGGGTCATTCTTTATCCTAAGCTTAAGCGGTACTTTAGCTGAGGTGACTGTAATAGCTGACCATTCTACTACTTACTAGCTATGATGAATTATTAATCATTATTATTACTATTAACTCTAATCACTGCTATAAGCACAACAAGGATAGTGAATTACATAGGCAAGCAGCACAGTCCATGCTTTATTCAGGATAATTTGGACCATATACTAGTGAGGCCTTGTGAGTACAGCTGTGTGTTGCAAATGACAAGGACAATGTAATGGAGCTCTAGGCATCTTTGTAAACAACAAACTGCCTCCTTCACATTTATAAACACTCCTGATACCAATGACACTGCTGCCAGTCACCTTGCTGATGAATTGTTGATTGCTACAGCTTTAGAGAAAAGTCAGTTTTTAATCCCCAGTTGTATTACCAAAATCCTGTGCATACAACTACATTCCCTGTTGCAAGAATGAACAGACAGTTAATACCCACCTCAAATGCCTCTCTTGAATGGCTTTACATGAAAGAGTATCATGCTTACATATTTTTAGCAAATCAAGGCAAAAGTAACCCAGTACAAAGCTAACAGTCCTTTCACAGCATCTAGGTAGCCACAGCAGAAATTATTTACCAAGGAATTCTGAGTGATACAGGCACATTTCATCTCCTTTTTCCATACAATTTTTCAGAGCAACCTAATCAACAAGATGCCTTTGTATCTACTATTAATAAACTCAAATTGGTTTATGATGTCCTCTAATTTTCAGGAGTTGCAGGGCTGTATCCTGGGAATGCACCAATATTTTGAAGAAGCTGGGCTTTAAAACCTGGTTAGTTTCTTGGTATCCACAATGGAGCTGAGCCTTCTTCCATCTAAAAAAGGACATATTTAGGGTGGAGTGATGTTTACCCATTTGTTTTGGGATGAAGAAGCAGTTACTTTAAACATGGGCTGAATTTAATCTCCTCTCCATAAATGATTGTATTTCTTTCCAACTTTATTCCTAAACAAAATCCTGCACCTGCATTTTGCCATCTAGACCTAAGGCACTGTGAGAAAAATCAGCTTTCATTTTGAACATGGAAGACTAGATGTGTAGATGTTTTGGGCATTCACTCAGGAGCAAACAGATAAAAATACGTACCAGAAGTGCAGGGAAACGAGATGGCTCAGTGGCT